ATAGGCCGGGGCTCTTTGTGGTCTTCGAACTATCATTGAGCATATATGAGACCCACTACTGTATTTGGGTCTATCGGTATGGCGTGCCGTGACCGGGTGAAAACGGCTCGAGACGTTGGACGTTCGGCTTAGCATTTTCGGCTTGCGTTTGGATTGTTTTGTGTGGTGTCGGTGCATTAGATAGAGCTCACGAGTGCTTAAAGGTCTTGGAAAGATCTCGCATCTTCTGCGTTGCTCCAAAAGCATTTGAATAACGGCCCTTCGCAGGTGTTGGGCCATCATTATTTGAAATACCTGCACACCCAAACTATGCAGAATAACGGCCTTTCGCAGGTGGTGGGCCATGATTACCTGCCTTTGGGGGTTTAGGTACAACCTAAAGGCCCCGTAGGCGCTGTACAACGCCGGGTATGAGAGTGGGGACAACACACTCCTATGCAAGTACCCGTAAGCCCAACTCCCTGCACCCTCAACCCCAAACCGACAACTAAACCGAAAACCATCAACGGCAGACGCCCGATCTAGAAATAGTTTGTGACATCCCCTTGAGCCACAAAAGCCGTTCAGTTGCTCGCCATTTCTGAGGGGAAGATCGACCTGCGAGAGCTTACCAGGGTTCAGGGTTTAGGGGTCTGGGGTTCAGGGGTTTAGAGCTTAGGCTTCAGGGTTCAGGGGCTTACGGTTTAGGGCTGTTGGGCATGAGTTCTGTAGGGACTGGGGTCACCGTGTTACAGATGGTTAGAGGTAAACCCTTTTGGGAGGGTTCCTTACACGTGACTGTCCAACTGCCGTGCCTCTAGGCTTCCCGCGCGCTTTATGCTGGCAGCCTGTTACGGCAGTTGACCTGCGAGGGGAAGCGAAGAGGGGAGAGCCTGCCGGGGCTAAAGACGAGTTGTTGATCCTTATTGCTATGAACCCAAAATAAGGTACCATATAGTAATACTCCAATAACACTATAATACTAGAATAATACGATGATGCTGTAATAATACTATACTACTACTGCTACTTTTCTCTTTGGGAGGGTTTCAAGCTTCGGGTTTCGGGCGTAGGGTTGGTCTGGGGAGTTGGATCGTCCGAGTAAAAGCTCCGGGTAAATATGTGTATGGTTTGGAAGGGGCCCCCACGCTGTAATAGTGGTATAATCGGAATATAGTAGGGCCCTATATAATCCTTATAGTCACTATTACAGGGTGGGGGCAGCTTCTGATGTATGATCTCATCCAATGAAACTGCGACGAAAGGCAAACTGCAGTGGCACCATACATACATGGACCGTTGAAGTCAGAAGTCATACCACCAATACTTGGAGCAAGATCGTGGCCAGAAGTACAAGATTAAGAACAAGAACAGCAAAGATAGCGCACGCAGAAAGATTGTGTCACCACACTACTTCGTTGAACGGACAAAGCGCGAGCACAGCAATCAACTTCCTACCCCCTCCCTCTATCCTCTGTTGTCACCGAAATGCCTACAATTAGGGCCATATGGCCCCGCTACGCCGAGACCCTAAACGTGGCCTGCATGTATGGAGCTGAGACAGAGAGAGAGAGAGAGAGAGAGAGAGATACATATATACATATATATATATATAGAGAGAGAGAGAGAGAGACACAGAGAGAGAGAGAGAGAGAGAAAGAGAGAAAGAGCGCGGGGATAAACACAACAATATGCAAAACTCAAGAACAGCAGGGACCTCGGTATGCTTTAGACACCTGCTGGATGAACTGTATTTTGAAGCACTTATCTAAATATGATTTTTTCCTACGTGGGCTTGGAAGGAGGCTGACATTCCAGTACGAGCCGGGGCCTCAAATGCTACCAGCTTTCCAAAATGAAAATGCTCGAAGCCAAGAATGAACCCCGAAACCCTAAACATAACTCCTAAACACCCCTAAACTTTAACCCTAAACCCCTAAATCCCTAAACCCGAAACCATAGATCCCTGAACCCTAAGGGACTTCAATCACAAACCCTAAACCCAGGACTTAGTGTAGCCTGCCGTTGTTGACTAAGGTTGAAAGCAAACCCTAAACGATCATCTAGCGCCAAGTATTCAGGCTGGGTTTGCTGCGTCTCGGAAGAAATCTAGCCGGCATATCTCTATTCCCTGAATCCTGTAACCCTCAGCTCGGATGCTTGCCCTTGTAATGTCAAACTGTCAAACCCCGAAGGGTCCAAAAAGACCCAGTAACTAGGTAGGTTTAGGATAGTAGTTATGTAGAGTCGTACTTGGGGGAGTATATGATTATTGGGTACTTGGACCCTTGGGGAACTCGACATGCTGGAGAAGATGCAAGTCCCCAAACTGACAAGAATAGCCTAAGCCCATAGACCCTAAACCCTGAACCCTAAACCTTAGAAGCTGCCCCCACCCTGTAATAGTGACTATAAAGACTATATTAGGGCCCTATTATATTCCTATTATACCACTATTACAGGGTGGGGGCCCCTTCTAACCTAAACCACAAACCCCTAAACCCTGAAGCCCCGTAAACAGTCTTTCTCCGTGCTCGTGGACAGAACATGCGCCACGCGGGTGAAACTTTCACAGGCCCATACCCAGACTTCGAGCAAAGCATTGCCATGTCTAACCAACCCAATGTAGGGGCCTTAAAACTAAAATAGGGTTTTGGGGCCCACTATGCTATAAGTATGACACGGAGCCCAAAATAGTATAGGAAATCATGTCGGCCTCCATATTAAAGCCCTAAGCCTAAGCCCTGAAAAACCCCTAAAAAGGCGCTGCTGTCGTTTTGGGTGGCCGTCGTGCCTAGGAAGGATCCTATAGCCATCAATTAGGGTTTAGGGTTTAGGGTTTAGGGTTTAGGGTTTAGGTAAGGATCACTTGCTACTATCCTAAACTCAAGCACTCAACTTCGGTCCCTCGGACCCTTCTTCGTATAGACTCCTTGTTGAATGTCCATTCCCAAGCCTACTTGTCTGGTATCGTGGGGAACTAAAGGTTAACCTTTTTGGTTTTAGAGGGATTATATAGGGACTATACTACCCCCCAAAAAAGTTACAGGTTACCTACTCTACTACTAGGTAAGGTATCCCAGGAACACCACTACACGCTCGGGTTCAGGTAAATCCTGAATTTCAGAGCCTGAACTCTTTTTAGGGTTTAGGTGAATCATATTCCGAATCTCGTGGGCCTTACTTGAGGGTCTCTGTTTAATCCTCGATTTTCGGTTTAGGCGTTGGGGCTTTTGGTTTGGGTCAAGGAGTTCGGGTTCGTGGCTTTCTGACTGCGGCGTGTTGAGTCCCCTAAACCCTAAACCATTGAGGCTGTGGCGGAGTAGCTAATCAAGGTAGCCCTGTGAGTGCGCAAGTCCAAGTACTCTTCTTGAAGCTTTGGACTATGCTGTGGCAGAACCGCACGGAAGAGGCAATCGATGGGCCCGGGCAGTAGAAGAGCGTCAACAACTGGAATGGGGTTGATCACTGTGCTACGATGAGGCTGGGGTCTATTAAAGGGGACACTACTCCCCCAGAACCCTATGTCGGTGGAATAGGTTGGGCTTCTTGCCTTCACTTAGCACTCATCTGAGGTTTGCATCTAGAAGGAAGATCAGCCTCAACTAGTGGGACCTCCCCCGTTTCAAGAAGTGCCTAGGCTTCCTGGTTCCGAGGACCCTGGCAATCCCAAGTCGTACACCCAATGGTTGTTTTTGCTATAGGGCTCAGGGCAACCGAAAGTAATCCATGCACCCTTCAAACAGGTACCTTAGAAGGGGCCCCCACCCTGTAATAGTGGTAGAATAGGAATATATTAGGGCCCTAGTATATTCCGATTATACCACTATTACAGGGTGGGGGTCAGCTTCAAACAGGTACCGTACAAGACCGCCAGGTACGGGCCCGCAAATCGTTGACGGATGCCGCCCTCTCTGAAGGCTGGACTGGCGATCGCCGCTTCGTCGGCTGATGGGGCCACTGGCTTTAAGTTAGGGTTTAGGTTTTACGGTTTAAGGTTTAGGGGTTAGGGTTTAGGGTTTAGGGGCAACAATAATGTAGGGGCCTTAACAATTAGAACAGGGTTTGGGGGGGTGCATTCTACTATAATTAACGATAAACAGGAAACCCCCGACTCCCCCAAACCCTATTCTAATTTTATGAAGGCCCCTACATTCAAGCACGAAACCACCTCGGAGCTCCTTGGGCGAACCCTCCCCAGAAATGAAACCACAAAGACTCTGTCAGACCTGTACAGGGTTTCAACACTTCAGTCCCATTCACTCCGCAGCAAGGCAAAGCAGCCCTGATACCCCCTGAAGCAAACCTAAAAAGCCCTTAACCCGATCATTAAAACCTATTTGAGTCCTAAATCTCAACCTTACCGCCCTAACCCCCAAAACTCTAACACCCTTTAAAGGAACCGTAATGCCCTAATACCCCTTAAACCCCAAAACCCGACCACCCCTGCCCAGAAAGGCATCCTAAAAGCCCTGAGCCCGATTCTGAAACCAATGCCTAAACCCCAAAACCCTACTTAGAGGTTCATGGGACTTACCTTAAGCCGGAATAACCTACCTTTTTAAGGACTTATATAAGGAAATCATAATACGGAACCCTAAAAAGGTAGGTTATTCCGGCTTAAGGTAGTAACTAGGGTTATAATTAAGGCAACTACACTTATATGTACTTATGACTCCAATTATGGTACTTCTAACTGCACTTACTAAGTCCCAGGAACCTCCAAGCACTGCCCTACCATCCTCAAGTACCACCCTAATGCCCGACTACCTGTAAAGGAGCCGTAATACACTAATATACCACCTGAAGGAACACTAAACCCACAACCCCAAAACCCTAATAGTACCTTTTGAGGCATCCTAAAAGCCCTCGACCCAAAAAACCTTACTACCCCGTACCTATAGTCTCCATTGTAGTTCCTGTTTTTGGTTAACCAATTTTATGGTTTGGATCCTATAATCGAGTTTTTGGTTAACCAAAAAAGGAACTACAATGGAGACTATAGGTACTTTAAAGGCACCCTAAAAGCCCTCAGCGATCGATCCCCACGAGCCGAGAGAGGACTTCGTCGCGGAGCTTCGCATGGGCGCCTCCGGCAGCGCCACCAGCGGCCAGGGGGACCTGGGGTGGTGGGGGCTTAACGGGTTTAGGGTTTCGGGGCTTTAAAGGGTTCGGGATTTAAAGGTTTAGGGTTTAGGGCTTCCTTTTAGGGTTCAGGGTTCTGGGGCTTTAAAGTTTTAGGGGTTCAGGGTTGCGGTTTTAAGGGTAGGGTTTGGGGTTTAGGGCTTTTAGAAGGTTTAGGAGTTTAGCAGGTTCAGGGTTTGGGGGGTTAGGGGCTTTGAAGGTTTAGGGTTTTGGGGCTGGGGGCTTTAAAGGGTTTAGGGCTTGGGGTTTGGGCGCTTTAAAGGGTTTAGGGTTTTGGGGTTTTGGGGCTGGGGGCTTTAGAGGGTTTAGGGGTTTAGGGTTTTGGGGCTTTAAAGGTTTAGGGTTTAGCGGTTTAGGGGTTCAGGGTTTAGGTTTTAGGGGCTTGGGTTTGGGGGTTAGGGGCTTAGAGGGTTTGGGGTTTTAGGGCGTTTAGAAGGTTTAGGGTTTTAGCAGGTTCAGGGTTTGGGGGTTAAGGGCTTAGAAGGTTTAGGGTTTTGGGGCTGTAAGACCAGGGGGTTGGGTATTAGGGCGTTTTGGGGCTTTTAGGATGTTCCTTTAGGGAACCGGGCTTTGAGGCTGGGGGCTTTTAGGGTGTACCTAAAGATTTACGGCTTTCGGAGTTCCTCTTTCAGGGATCTGTAGGGAAGTATCAGCAGTAGAGGGCTTTGGGCTTCGGTGCTTCAGAGTATTAGGGGTTTGGGGTTTTAAATGGTGGGTTTATAGGAGGCTCGTAAGGATTTGTGGGATTCGAGGTTTCAGAACAATTTCAGGGTTATTTATGGGGGGGAGGGTTCAGGCTGCGAGATCTGTGCTTTGAGTTGATTTCCGGCTTGCGGTTTGGATTTAGCTAGAGCAGCCGACGTATCAGCACATAGGGGATATGTTGAAAGCTGGGGTTACCTTGGCTACCCTAGGCAGGGCTGAAGGCTAGCGCTCGGGCTCGGGTGTTTAAGCGGGATTGGAGTTTCACTTTCAGCCTTCAGGGTTCCCAGACCTTCCAAAATCCCTTAATTAAGGAATATACCTTAATTCTTATTTGGGATCCGATTATAATTTAAGGTATTTCCTTAATTAAGGGAGTTTGGAAGGTCTGGGTTTTCAGAGTGTACAGGGGGGGGGGGGGGCAGGGGGGCTTAGTGCTCATGCCCTTGAAATGACGTCACCTTGCGGATTCCGGGGGCTGAGGGTTGATGCCAGGTCAGGTTTAGGACTTCATGGGGGCTTCGGGGCTCTAAGGCTTTACTATACTGAACTTAGAACCCTAGCAAAAATCATAATTTTAGCTGTCTCTTAGGGATGATAATAACCACAAATTTTTAAAATATAATAACCAAAAATTAAGAAAAATATAATAACCAAAAATTAAAAAATCTAAGTACCCCTAAGATTTATGGTTCAGAGCTCCGAGGGCCCTGATCCTCTGAGGACCGCACACATTGTTTCGGCTGGCGAGGTTGAACTGAGGGCAGCGGTGAAGAAGTTGGTCTAAACACTAAATCCCCTGACCCCGTAAATCCCTGAGCCCCAAACCTGGCAACCCCTTACCCTTAATCCCTGAACACCATACCCGGAACTCTAAACCCTAAACGGAACCCCAAACCCTAAACCCCAAGCCCTGAAACCCTAAAAACCCTAAAAACCCTAAACCCCTATGCCCTAAACCCTGCATCAAGGTCTTCGGTCTGAGGGTTACTGGCGTCCGGGAACAAAGGCTCCGAAACCCAGAAGTCTGAAGTAGATCTGGTCTGACATGGTAATGGGTTTAGGGTTTGGGGTTAGGGCCCTTAGGGTTTAGGGTCTTTGATCTTTCGGGTTTAGGGTCTTTCGGATTTAGGGTTTAAGGTCTAGGGTGGACATTAATGATGAAGGCCATCGTGTGCTCAATCCTCTTCGTCTCCTTCTCCGCTTTGGTCTTCAGCTCTTTGAGAAGTTTCTCCTTCTTCTTGCCTTCTGCATGGAGCTTCTTCTTATGCATCTTGGCGCGGAAGTCTGCCAGGGTCATCGTCTTGACCACCTCAACGCCTTTGATGTACGGATACAAAGCCTTGGCAGCTCCCAGTGAAATTTAAAACTGTTGCAGCTGAGGCCCTGCAAGTGGGAAGCTGGAAAGTCACGAAATGTGGCATGCTGTCGTTTTCTGTATAAGCTTGAAACATGCAAATGCTTATCATGATGTCATTTGGGGTCTTGCACATCGTGACATTCCAACCAATTTTTCAAGAATACTCAAATGTTCCGAAATCCTACACTAGACCAAAAACTCGAGCACCCTTAACCTGCAAAACTCCAACGGGCTAGAGCCTGGAACCCAGCTTCACGAAGTCATGAAGCTTTAAAACCTAAACCTCGCAGCCCTACAGCCTAAGCGATGAAACAGTAAAGCCCCGAACCCTGAACCCTAAACCGAAAGAGAGCGCCAGCAGCGAAAGGAACCTGTGCACAGTAGAGTTTGTAAAGGGCCTCGCCCCTGAACTCCAAATCCAAACGGTGAACCACACATCATACAAGCCAGAAGTCTCATCCCTAGGTACCATGGACCCCATAAGACTCCCAAATCGGGTTAGGGATTGGGGTCTATGGAGCCATAGTAAGCAAGATGTGCCCCAAAACGCTTGAACACCCCCAGCCGAAAGGCATCTCTATCGGCGCTAACCCCCCAAAACTCGCCCCGACCTTCTGCCAGATCTCCTTGCTGGTGAAACCTGGCTCCCGGCGACAGGGAGTCTTAGGAGGAGGGAGAGCCAAATCCAGAAAGCCCTGCGAACACTCGTTACTTAATGAAGATACCATAAGTTATAGGGGCCCTAATACTATGATTTAGGGTATATTCCGTCATTGAGGGGTATTGGGCTTTCTGGGAACTTTGGGTTCAGGGCAGGGTTCCCAGGGCTTACAGGTTGCTGCTGGGAAACGATGATTTCATAGAACCTATGTAGGCTTCGGGGCTATAGGAAAATAAACACCGACTCAACATCTTTGCTAGATGGGATGGCGGTGGGGGGCGGCTATCAGGGGACTGCATTGATCCGTCGGCTTCGGTCGCGGATTATAAGATTCCAGACCTAGGCGGCACAGAAACCAGCAGCATGTCGTCGAGAGGGGGGGGGCTCCAAGCACGAGTCCAAAACATCCCGACAGATTCGAGATCTTCTGCTGAATAAACTACGTCATAAGACCCTGCATAACACTCTGTTCATGGTTGAGTGTGTACTTGCGCCCAAATGTGTGCGTGTGTATACACACATACAATTATTAAATATACATACCTAAAAATACACTTTTACTGCATCCTACTCGGCTCGGTTCTGTCAGTTTGCACGAAGACTTATTTGCTGAGTAGCCCCTTTATGATAAGTGTACCCTTTCCCTACTGTTCGGCTTTGAAAAGGGGCCCCGAAATAAACAAACAGGCAAAAAGGTACCACTCAGGAATCCTTATGGTACCCTCACAGTATGTTTATCGAACCCTTAAAAGGACCCTTCTAACACCCTTATAGTACCCTTATAGAACCCTAACACCCTTATAGTACCCTTATAGAACCCTAACACCCTTATAGTATAGAACCCTAACACCCTTATAGCACCCTTATAGAACCTAGAGACTAAAGATTCGAACCACCCCAGCAAGAAGGCGCCCGATGGCGCCTTTCTCCTGGGCATGGACCCTGCGCAGACGCGACAGTGAGTGGCTGTCCATTGTGGGCATATGCATGGGGGTTTATAGGGTCTTCTTTCAAGAGCAATGCAACTTTCAACTTTCTTTGCTCAAACTTTAGAAGTCTAAACCCCAAAACCATAAGCCCCCAGTTATTGAGTGTTTAGCGCTCGGGTCTAGGGTTTAGGTTAGGTGCCTACCAGGTGCTGCTTGGACCGCCGTTCTCCTTGGACTTGGGTTGTTCTACACCAGGGCTTTCTTCGGTTGATGATATAAATCCTGCATTACCTTAAGGACCTAAACTATGGGAATTCTGGTATATTCCTTATTATGGGTAATGCAGGATTTGTATCCTCAACCGTTGCGGAGCGAGACTCAGTGCGTTGTCCAATCCTGCTTTCAGTTGGTGTAATACAAGAGCGTCAATGGAGCAGTGCTGAGGGGGCTTGAAAGCCATGAGTAGGGGAAGGCTGAGCTGATGGAGAACGACATAACATCTCACCATCTCGGCCAGGTTCAACCCTAATTGTCCAAGTATAAAAGAATCATATACTCTCCTAAATATTGAGCTACATAATTACCATCCTAAACCCAAGTACCCAATTATTGGGTCCTTTGGACCCTGAGGGCAAGGTTCAGGCTTTAGGAATCTATTCCCAAAGGCTCGAGATATAACAAACGTGCCTAGTTTGTCCAACTTTGACATACGCAACGTAGAATCTGCTGTCTTTCAGTTAGTACCTATTAATTTCGGGCTTCGGATTGAAACTAGACGGTCTAAGATAAAAGGTACATCTTGCAAGTACTGTAGCTTTATATACACCCAACAGGGTCTGAGGGCTGCCTGCTCAGCGACTGAGCTATTTAATGGCAATCTGAATCTAAAGATGTACCGTTTTGAGAATCTATACTGCTTCGCGGTATACATTAATACTCCTTTCAACTATGCTGACAGAACCAAAAAAGATCAGTACCTACAACACATCTAGCTACTGCCTGAACCCGAAATCCTAAACCCTGAACCCAAAGAAGCGTCACCCCCACAACTGAAGACAACACACCCACCATAAATCGCAGACCCTAAACCCAAAACTCTGGACCCTAAACCCCTACACCCCTAAAACCCTAGACTTTAGACCCTGAGCCCTACACCTTGGACCCTAAACGCTACACCCAACCCATCGTGCTCAAAAGATGCCTGGCGGTCGCTAGGTCGGCAAACGCCTCCAGTGGGAGCCAGGGTTTTGGCTTTGGGGTTTGGGGGTTTTGGTTTAGGGTTTCGCAGGGCTTGTACGGCGACGGGCATGATTCGGCATGATATTGAAGTTCAACGTCTAGGGTTCAGGGACTGGACATTGCAAGAGGTTGCATAATTGCAAAATGGTCTTGCCATATTGCAGACCCTATAGAATTATAGTAGCGACCGAAAGCCATGCTCTAATCTATCAAGGTCCCCTTACTGGGCCATGATGTTTCTGTGACTGACTGAAGGCCGTCATTCCTAAACCCTAGATCCTAAACCCTAAACCCGAAAGACCCTAGACCCTAGATCTTCATCCCTAGATCCTAAACCCTCAACCGTAAGAAACTGTGGTCGGACGCAGATTACAGGCTGAGGGTTCAGGTATCTCAGTGAGGTTACCCAAGTCATGGCCTCGAAAAGGAGAGAGCGAGAGAGAGAGAGAGAGAGAGATAGCGAGTGAGAGGGAGAGAGAGAGGGAGAGAGAGAGCCAGAGCGAAAGAGAGAGAGAAAGAGCGAGAGAGAGAGAGAGAGAGAGACAAAAGAGAAAGAATCCTCAAGAGGCTATGTAGGTCAAGATCTGAATTTGCACGAGACCATAGAATTCTGAGCCGCCAGGGCCTGAATCATGCAGTTGTTCACGTAGTCAGAAGGTATGAAACCCGGGGGTCGTGAAACTCAAAGCCTGAGGAATAGACATGCAGTATATTCCGGGAACGTGACGCTACACTCTACGGAAGCACCTTGATGGCGAAAGCTTCAAGTTGCATTGGCTCTGAAGGGGGCCGGCGAAGACTCTTTGATTAAGTATATAGGGGTTAGGATTTAGGCTGGCAGTCAGGTTGCAGGGTTTAGGGTTTGGGCATCTTTCAAACCTCTAAAACCCCCGTCACTTGGACAACTCGAATCAGAGCTGGTGCCTGATGGATGGCATCTCCGTCATCCAAGCCTCAGAAATTGAAACTTCCGGACGGTTGTCTACGGGTTTCCAGCTTGAGGAGCTGACACGTCCTCTCCCAAATCTTCTTTGTTTGAGATGTGGGGGTTTCCAAAAATAGGGGACCCTAATATAGTACCCTGAATAGTAGGATCCTTATTACAAGGACCCCAAATAAGGTACCCCTAAATTTCGGAAACTCCCATGTAGAGTCAATGCAGAGGTAGTGCAAATCAGGCTTGAACCTGGCTCTCTATACCCAGACCTTCCAAAATCCCTTAATCTTAATTAAGGAATATACCTTAAACTATCATAGGATCCCAAGTATGAATTAAGGTATATTCCTTAATTAAGGGATTTTGGAAGGTCTGGGTACATGCAGGCCTGAGGCATCCTGAGGCGTCTGCTGCGTTAGCATTTCAACTTAAAGGGAACTCCAGAAAGTTGGAATATGGTTTCAGGGTAGGGTACCTTATAATTTACCATAAAGGGTTTAGGATAATCATATTCCAACTTTCTGGCTTTTGCCTTACAAGTATGTGAAAGGCTCCAGTTTTGGAGCCCCATCGAAGTCTAAGCAAACTGGGGCTTAGCTCACGAACCAATCTGTGCAGTGTACCGTAGTACCAGTCTATCCCTGCCATTAATATCACAAGCCCAGTCACACACACAGACAGACACACACACACACATGTATGTCAGCTGCCTACAAAATTTTACCGTTCCTTGGCACGCTTAGTAAACCCCGCTCCAGCCACATAGTTTAACGAAAGAGCCACTGGCTCGAAGGGAAAATTATAGCCTCTAAAAACCTAAACCCCTTCAACAATAGCAGCCAAACCGACTGCGTTAATGAAGGGATGTAGTTAATTAATACCCTTTTTGCAGAAAGAAAAGCAAGCAAGGGGGTCTACTCCTTGCTTGAAAACAAGACCGTACGAGGGGGTAGTCCGGTTTAATTAGGTAAGGAGACCGACCCCCAAAACGAGAACCTGTAAGGAAAATACTGAGGCGGACTTAACAAACCACACACTTCTGGGCCCTCGCACACACCGGACCAAACTTCAACAGCTCTCCCTTGTCTGCCTCACAGAAGGATACATCTGCTTCGGTCAGGTTTCATTGCGGTATTTCATTTTAGATTGCTGGGTCGACTAGAGTCTAGAGCTGCGGCGGGGATCAGTTTGGATTGGGGGAATTTCTTCTTGCAAAGGGCCGAGGAGCGCTTGGCTGTAAGGTGGCCGAAGCTGCGGCATGGTTGGGAGTTGGGGCAAGCGAAGCGCCGGAGCGGGGGCGGGGGCTGGGGCTGCCGGCAGGCTGGCGCTGGCTGGGGTTGGAGCTGTTGGGGCTCAGTTTCTGCTTCTGAAATCCGCTCAAACAAGGCCAAAAAGAACAATTTGGAGGCTGAGCAGAAGGTCCTGGCTGGGGCCAAAGGCTAAGGTCGGGGGTGGAGCATGCCAACCAGACACCGGCCCCGCCCAGCGCAGCCCCAGAGCCAGAGACTAAGCCCCTGCTCAGTAGTCAGTAATCAAATTCCAAAAAAGACTTGGGGGCCTTCATAATAGGATTTTTGTGACGGTTATACTACAAGTATAACAAGAAACCTCCCGAATAGTACAGGTATTTGTCAAGGCCCCTACATTTTCCAGTCCCAAATCCAGATCCATTGCCAGCTTTAGCTCTCGTCCCAGCCTCATCCCAAGTTCAGATAAAGTCGTTCCCTTTAGGGCTTCATATATAACCCTAAACCCTAAACCCTAATATATATATATATATATATATATATATATATATATATATATATAGAATCCCAGAGGGGCCCCACAGTACCTATGTAGGGACTACATCAAGGCCAGGTTCAGGCAATATCCCTCCAAGGACCTCATAATTAGGGCCCTAGACCTGCTAAGGACCCCATAATAAGGCTCCTGGAGGCATACCTATAGTCTTCATTGTAGTTCCCTTTATTTTGGTTTAACCAGTTTTATATTAAGGATCCTAAAAGGTAACCCCCTCCTCCTGGAGGAATAGGGAGTCTTGAAGCGCGACATGCACCGAATGCTCCCAGGCCGAGCCGCTTGTCGCAGCACGGATTTCACCCCACGTTCTTTTAGCCCGTGCGCACCTACAGTAAGCCTCATAGAGTTGGACACCGGGTTAAGGGCAAATAGTGCTGGGATTCCCCATGCATTACTCATAAGGATTGAGGCTATTGGGTTTCCAACTTTTTGGCTCCTACTGTAGGCGCCACGAAGTAGGCTGGCCGGCATATTATCCGTCCACTTGTGCAACGGATGGGCGAGGCCTCCGACTCATCACAGGTTTTGGATGTACGGCCTGCCTCAACCACCCAAAAGCTTGCCTGCTTGAGGGTACACACACAAACAACATGTGTGCATGTGTGCATATATGCAAATATATGGTTAGGGTTTGAGGGGGCCTCTTTTTATGCATGCTCATACCTCCCTGGGTCCTAAAAGGCTTTAGAGGTGAGTTGTGTTGAAGGTCGGATGCTGCGATATTCTGGGGGCTTTCTATGGATAACCAGAACGCGCCGTATACAATTCCCTTATCGTTGCTGTTGCATTGCCCTTACTGCCAGGACTTCAAATCGTCTACACGAATCCATACCTGTTTAGGGCTTGGGGTTTACGGCCGCTGAGGTCTACAGCTAGCACCCCCCCCCCCACCCCCCCCACCCCCCCGCACTTGCTAAACTAACATAGAAACGCCAAAACTGTCCGCTATATTCTGCCAGGCCGAGCAGTCTCGAAACCCTTTTCCCTACCTCGTAGTCCTCGAGGATCTTCTTCCAAGCCCGATCCATCTGGTCCGTCCTGATTTCTTGGGGGGGGGATGGCTTGAAGGGCTTTTCTAAGAAAGGGCTTCTCAAAGGGTTTAGGTTTGCTATAGGGTTCCTGGAACGGATCTACCAAGTTTGGGGTTTGAGATCATCTGTTTAGGATTGTTCGGACGGGGTTAGCCTACGACTCATTCCAACATGCGACGCGAAATTCTTCTGAATGACTACGGACCCACCACTTTGGAGAGGAGACTGATGAACTGAAAAGACGAAACCTTACAGAACCAGTTGTCGTGGAGTCTCGGCTAGGAGAAACGCTGACCCCTGTGCAGCCTGAGCCCAACACCCTAAACCCAACAAGTGTAATCAAACCCTAACCCTAAAACCCAATAGCCCTGTGTATTCAAAACATGAGCATAAAGCCTTAAAATATCCTAAAATCCAAAACTGTATTCAGGGATTAGGGTTTAAGGTTCAAACCCGAAGCCCCAAACCCTGAAAAAAACAACACTAGGGTCAAATCCATTAACTCAGGGAATGTCGGAAGCTGTGAAGCTCTGGTCATCAGTCCTCTCCCGTGTGGAGCAGACAAGGAAAACGGCCGGGATCTCGGCGTGGCGCTTTCTATTCTTTAACCCTAGGGATCTAAGGACTCATATGTTAAGGCTTTTGCGTCCAAAGACCATACTATATAAGGCTGTTGGGCTAGTTTGATCCCTGGGGTAAGGGTGTTGGACCTCATACTTGGGTTTGGGATCATTGAAGTCGTTCAAGATGTTCTACGGTTTTGCATAGGGTCTTACAAGGTCTTACGGGTCCGAGTAGATGATTGTTTGGTTCGTCGACCCTGATCGCTGGGATATCAGTAGGGCTTGCTAGTATCGATGACAACAATCCCCCAGAATTCTGTAAAATGAGGGCTCTAAAACTAAAAAACCAACAGAAAAATGAATTTTAAAATGATCCCAAATCGATGCCTAGTTCAGGAATTCGGCTTTCATGATTTCCAGCCTACGGTGTGGAGTCTTTCGGGCTTTCGGCTGAGCTGTAGCGTGAATCCTCAATCCTAAAGAAACCACAGCGCCCAAAGTCGCACGAATCAGAGACTTTACCCATAGGCTCCACAGTAGTTCCTTTTTGGGATTACCTTATAAGATTCTATATATGAACCACAAACAGGAACTACTATGGAGTCCTAGGGTAGACCCCAAAGTAAGTACTGTTGTGCGTATGTGGAGTCTGTGCAGGATCCAAAATCCCGGGGGACCCGAAAAGGAAGGGCCCCCACCGGCCGGCGCGTGGGCGGTACAGATTCCATCAGGTTAACAACCGCCTGGCATCAGGTTTAGGTGGTTTAGGGTTTAGGGCATCAGAATTGGGAGGTTCTTGAAATGATCCCGGGCTGGGGCCTGAGGAATCACGAGGGTTTTGACTTTGGGCTTCGAGCTTCGCGTGTCGGATTCAGGATGGATGAGAGGGCATGAATTTGAGGCTCACTGCTAGGGTGTAGGGCCTTGGTGGTTCCAGGATTTCGAGGCATGAGGATGATGGGTCTACCAGCAATAGAGCCCTTATGGCCTTTAATACTGGGTATTTGGGGTATGTTAGAGGGTAGTTGGGAGGTCTAGGCAGGGGTTTAGGGTTTAGGGGGTTGGTGATTTTTGGGGGGAGTGCTGGTAGCAGCGAAGGATAAAATTCTACATGTTAATGGGAACCAGACATTTGTCCCTTTCGAAACAACGTGGCACACGGCGTTTATGGACTGAGTGATTGTGTTGATCGCGAAGTTAGGCTGTTGGGGTTTAGATGGAAATGGGAAATGAGGGGCATTCGGAGTATATGACTGAGACAGAGTAAGAAAGAGCAATGAAACTCGGCGGCACCTCGCATTTCACAGTAAACGCCTCTGTTCGACACAGCTTGCGATCGATGTTGGCAACAAGTGTACTCATACATGCAACAGAGCCCTACAACAATAATGAGCAGAGGAAGTGCAGGTTCTAGCATTACGAGAGCAGCAGCCGGTGTATTGCGACAACCTGCTCCGACAGCATACTTTTCTGTCTCATACGGAAATCAACAGCGTACCGTCTCTCTGTCCCTCTTTCTGTCTCTGGAGGGAGGGTGGTAGACGAATGAGTGCCGATTGCTTAGGTTGCAAAGCGCACTCTAGACAAATTCCAAGCAGCCGGGTGATGTGCGCTCGCGGACTGTTAAGGGATCGGCAGGCTGTTCAACGTCTCACGAAAACCTGAAAGCCAAAAAAGCATGGCAGCAAGGTCTTAAGCTGTCTCAAATACTTAGCGTGATCATCATGTGATAATCAACAAGTAGCACATTGGGATAAAACTTTTCATACTGTCCCAAAGCGGATGTGGAAATTCATGTTCACATGCTCTTATGATTCATGTTGCGGCGAGAACCTTGCTCCGGAAGTCAAAAACGGGCTCAGTGAAGGCACCTCCTCCATGATGACAAGCCGCTCTCGCATCGTAGGCGCCTGCGGTCAGGAGGCGAGTTGTGAAATGACAGATCTCAGCAGGCTTTCTCAGAAGGAGTTCAAAGGAAGATGAGGGAGCTCCTCACAGGCCTTGGTGAGGCACGCTTCTGTGACAGGAGTCAAGAACCATGTAGACCCCCTTGTTCTCCTAGACGGGGAGGTGTTCTTCAAAAGTCTACATTCTGTATGCAGCAATAGCACTGTTACTGCGAGCAGAAGCTCATCCACCCGCCCCCTGCGCCACGCAACCAAGCGGCTTAGAAGGCCTTGAGGAACCCTATAAGCCCTAAAGCCTGAAAGCCTAAAAAACAAAAAACAAAACACCTTAGAAGCTGCCCCCACACTGTAATAGTGACCATAAGGATTATATAGGATTATATTAGGGCCCTATTATATTCCTACTATACCACTATTACAGGGTGGGGGCAGCTTCTAAAAAACACCTTATAAACCTGGACGACAATCTCAAAACTATAAATTCTGAAACCCGAAGTCGTGAGGTTTCATCTCCGATACTTGACAGACAAAGTCCTGAACCCTCGCTCTTGTTACACATATACTACATTGTGTATGTATTTTGTCACAAGGTGTCTGTTATCTCAAAAATAAAAATCTCTACCTATGTCCATATGCATATCTACATCTATAACATGTCCGTCTATATCTATATGAAAGTATGGACCCAGAGTACACCTTTCTGTTCATTATACACACCGCAGAAAGTTGAAGGTCGCCTGCTCAGCTTCTAAGACACCCGCCCAATATTACCCCAAGGACGATAATTATTATCATGATGAAATTTATTGTTGTTCTCATGATGAAATTTATTGTTGTTCCTATTGCCATTATTTTCATTATTAACCATTACGACAGTTATTTCTCGTTACTTCTATTAATACAATGACTCTTACGAGTACGGGTAACTGCTGCTTCTATCTAGTATTCCTGCTGTTGAAATACTGTTGCAAGTATTATTAATCAAAATATAAAGGAGCCCAAAACCCTGTTCTGAGTATTGAACCTAGACCCTACACCCAACCCCTAGACCGTACACCCAGAAACCCCTAAACCCTAACCCCCCCCCCCCCCCGCAGAACTCCAGGAGACCTCGTCCACGTGGATCATGAAAACAGTGCAGGAGCTCTCGGCCTTTTGGGCTTAGGGGCTTTGAGGGTCCTATAGCAAGGGACTTGTACGGGATCCTCTTAGGGTTCCTTTGTGGGCTCCGGGGCTATAAGGTTTAGGGTTTAGGGGGTTAGGGCTTGGGTTTAGGGTTTGGGGTTCGGCGTGTAGGAGGGCTGGGGGTTTGCAATTCATAGGGTCCGGTTGTGATAAGGCTGCCGAAGAACTCATCCCGCACCTGATTCATGCACCCAAAGGATCACCAAATCTACCTAAACCTGATTCATGCACCCAAAGGATCACCAAATCTACCTAAACCTGATTCATGCACCCAAAGGATCACCAAAGCTACCTAAACCGTGAACAGACACCCTCGAAGACCCCGTGTGATAGTAATTGCATACACTGTCTCCCTCATGGCTCAACCCGAGACCCCAGTCCCTTGCTTCGGGTCCACAGAAATATCTAAGGCGCGGGCATCCGACTGACTGTTGCAAGCCTTCGTCAGCTTCCTGGCGATCAAATTCCAGATCGATCCATATAGGCCCTTGAATCATGTCGTGGTATGTTCGTATAGGAACTACAAGGGATATAGGAACTAGAAGCGCTATGGGTGGTTGTCGAAATTATGGTCCCTTTTTGGGTCCCTAATATAGTACGGCACCTCAAGTTTAGAGTGCCCTACAAGGGACCATAATTTTGACAACCACCTATATTGTTGCCAAGTATCAGATCTCCGTACCGGGTTGTGCAGCTGGTGCCTGGAAGGCCCACTCTGTGGTACACCGGGTTTAGGGGTTGGGGGGGTTAGGGTCCGGGTTATATGTATATATATATATATATATATATGTATGTATATGTATATACCATTATATGCACATATACATACATACATATATATATATATATATATATATATATATATTTGTTTATACGTATATTGCACCCTGTAGAATTCAAATGCTAAGTGTACACAGAAAATATGCTGGTATGTCTGCGAGGCACCCGAGGCACAACAGCAAAGGCTCCGTCAACTGGTACCGTAGTGCACTGCGTCTTGTCTCATGATTTATGCACGATCCGTGCTTCATTCTGGTCTCGATTATTTTCAAAGCCGGGCGAAGCATTGTGGTCATGTCTCTGAATACCGCCAGTACACTGGGCACAGCATTCTGGCAGTGCTGTCGTGGTGTCCCGGTGGCTCCTGGTGGTCTCCTATAGTCTTGTTGTGCTTCCTCGTATCGTGGTCGTCCTGGTCGTGGTGGTGTGCCTGGCGGTCGTGGTGGTCCTTGTCAACATTTCGGTCGTCGTCGTGGTCGCCGTGCCCTTTATATATATATATATATATACATATACATATGCATGTTTGGGGCTCTGTGCTGGCATCCTGCATGTCTACATTGGCTGACCGAACAGTGCTTCGCCGTCTAGCTAACGGCTGACTAAGCCTGGACAGCCAAGAGTTCAGGGTTATGGGGCTTTCGGGCTTAGGCCTTTGAGGGTTTGGGGCTCAAAGGCTGAAAGGCCCAGACCTTCCAAAATCCCTTAATTAAGGAATATACCTTAATTCATATTTGGGATCCTATTATAATTTAAGGTATATTCCTTAATTAAGGGATCTTGGAAGGTCTGGGGGCTTCAGGGATTCAGGGTTTACGGCACCCTAAGCGCCTGAGAGGAAAAGCGAAAGCTCAGACCACAAACGAACCTGTTGTCTTAAGATAAAAACACCAAAATCCCCAAAATGAACGGAGATCCGAAACCAGGCCGGCCGAACCCCGGCGTAAGGGCTCTGAAAGACAGCTTCGCCAGCCTCAGTTGCTGGCTCATCATTTTCCATAGAGTCAAAAAGAGCGACTCTAGTGTTGCACAGGGCTTATTCTGGTTTAGGGCTTGAAAGAATTTGGGGTTTAGGGTTTAGGGTTTGGGGCTTGCCTGGACCCCCCCAATCATAATCAGGAGTCCTTAGAAAAGGACGAATCTTTAGGGTCCAGGTAGCAATCTCTAATTTTTGGGTGTAGGAAATGAGAGGGGATGGATTACGGATTTCACCGGAGCAAAAACATTCCCTCCCCACGAGGGATCCAGCACGCAGCAGCGAGCTTTTCGCATTCAGGGATTGTTTTGATGCCTTTGCCGCTTAACAAGACTTTGCAAGAGATTTCATCGGGTACTCTGCTGTACTGCTGCCTTGTTTAGACTAGCTGGAAACCCTGAAACCCTAAACCCGTACAATCGCCCTGTGCAACCCTACAGGAACACTCGGTGAATATCGACTACCACAACTTGTTGTTTCTTTGCCCCCAATCACAGACACGTCACAACCGTTTAGGTCCTCAACCACAGAGGAAACCCTAAACCCTAAACCCAAAACCCTAAACCCTAAACCCTAAACCCAAAACCCTACACCCAAACGCTACGTCTTAGGGCTCAACTTAAAAGCAAGAGAGATCAGCCGAGGCTGCGGCCGTACTTTCGAGGACGCCCTGTCAGCCCCGCTTCTGTCTGTGTGCTACCAACATTACCTGCAGACTGTAGCCTCAACTCTCAACCTCATAAGCTTTGGGGCTTGGGGATTTGGGGTTTAGGATCTGGGGTTTACGGTTTAGGTCTCTGACCGTCTGTCTATCTGGCTGTCTATGCATTCGCAGACGCAGAGCTGCATGATTTGAGCCACCAGACTGGAGCAACGAGACTAACCAAAATGAGGCCCAAGGTCTTTAACAAGCAACCTGCACAAAATCGTCGCACACCTCTTCAATACCCCGTCCCTTTCAACAAAAAACTCCAAAGCCCTGCACCCAACATAAACTCAAGACCTGAGCTGCAAGCTTCAAAGCTTCAAGCCCTAAACGCTGAACCCAGAAACCTGAACCCTAAACCCCTAGACAATACACCCTAGTCACTGAAACCTACCTAGACCCCCCAACTACCCTTTATTGTAGCCCCGAATGACCTCTTAATAAGAAATATCAGAGCCCTTTAAAGGGCACTTGGGGGGTTTAGGTAAACCTCAACGTCGTGCTGAAGGCCTTTTCTTGGCCGCGGTTTCCGCCACAGACCAAGGAACTTCCTTGGACAAAACAGGGATGGGTTTGTAAGTGTTTCCCTAAGGGTCCAAAGGACCCACTAAGTAGGTACTTGGGTTTAGGATAGTATAGCTATGTAGCTCAATATTTAGGGGAGAATATGATGACTAGGTCCTTGGACCCTAGGGTTTTGGGAGGTCGAAACAGCCATGGCTTCCGGAGAGGGATTGGGGTTGAGAGGTTCTAGCGATTTGGGATGACTGAGATTCTAGGGGTTTGGATTACGATTAAGATTCAAGGTCTTGAATCAGGTTTAGTGTTCTGTGGCTCATCAAGTGCTCCGCCGGCCTCCAACATATCCCAAACCCTCGACTCTCATGGACTCTTTAGTCCCTGTAAGTTGTACCCAAAGGCTCCATAGTAGTTCCTTTTGGGGATTCCCCTTTAGGATTCTATATCTGAACCCCAAAAAGGAACTACTTTGGAGCCTTAGGGTAAAGCCAAACACCCCAACATCAAAACCGTCCAGCATGAACCCCAAGCTCCAAACCCTTATCCCTAAACCCTTATGTATTGGGTACGGCCCCCATACAGTAACAGTCTATAATCGGGCTACTTTTTTGGGGGCCGAAGATATCTATAGTATGAATATTATCCAATTGTTACTGAGAGGGGGGCCGTACCCAACTTATATAGATTCTTTATAGGATCCCTTGTAGTGTCCCTGAAAGGAACCCTGAACCCTAAGCCCCAGCCACTGGGATGCCGGCGCAAAGGCAAGTGTGGGGCAAGAACCCGCTGCTTCCGCTGCGATCTGCAATCAATGGGCATCCGAAAGTCTCCCAGAAACCTACCCTTTTAGGGATTCCTTACTATGATTTTCAGTTGTATAAGTCCTCAAAAAGGTAGGTTATTTGAGGTTACGGGCTGAGTTGAATTTCAAGCCATTGAAAGCCTGTATTCGCGCCACGATTTCAGTTCCTGGATGGTAGCTTGAAAGTAGCTTGCCAGTCAAACATGTAACCCGGTAGCCCGTCATTTGGGGAAGTGGGGCCCTGAGGATAATAAAGATGTAATGAGAACCATATCAATGGCATTCAGTATGGTAGTTAAAATCTTGAAGATGACTGCGAGAAAACAAAGATGTAAAGATAATGTTCATGTTGGTAAGATGGGGGCTGGGATCTTGTAGCGGAAATTACTTTCAAGCGACATTGTAGGGAAAACATCTCGTGTACTGTAGAGCCCTAGTATGGTAACTTAAACTGGAATCGTTAACAAGAACCTAACCCTGAACCCTAATTTCTTAAGCCCTAAACCCGAACCCCTAAACCCTAAGTGGCGGGTCATCAAGTTGAAAGACTTGCAAAGCACTGCTCTAAGAGTATATACAGGAAGGGAACTGAAAAGCTTCCGAGCACTTTCTCTGCCAGTGGGTTTGGGTGTTAAAGGCTATCATAGTTTAGGGTTTATATGAAGGGCTTAGGGGGTTTACGGTTAAGGGTTCCGTATGCCCTCTGTCAAGTTGCTGGGATGTAGCAAAATCTTGCATCAGTTGCGTCTGCTGAGGCATCCGCACATCTTCTGAATCAAAGCGGCGTCGGGTTCCTCCTTCTTCGGCGCACCCCTGAGAGGAAGTATCCAGGTATTCAGGACGGTGAGGACAACAAGTCACGAGGCGCGATGATGATGCTTCGCGACGATGGCTACAGAGGTTTTGCTGTGTAGGACTTCCTAAATATGTCAACAAGTACAGATCATGAGTGTCAGGAAAGGTGCCACGGGTAGCCTGCGACATGCTCCTATACAACATGTCCTTGCTCAAAATCCTCAACCCGAATAAAACTAAATCCAGAACGAGAGCTCCGCTTTGATATCAACAAAGGCCAGCACTAGCTGCTGACCAATCAAGCATGGAGTGTTTTGCCGGGTGATGAATCCGACCAGGATAAATACAACAATAAGGGTCTATGTACCCATGTCATGCACACACAAACTCTTTTCTGCATGGACTCAAGGTATAGAAAGAGCAGATTATAGCCGTTTGAGCTGGATCCCGATAAAACCAAACTAAACCATGAACTCACAGCCCTGTGGCAGAGGGCTTGGCTGAGAGTGCTTCCGGTGTATTCACCATTATTCACCCGTATCCCTAGGGTGTGTTTAACGCTTCACCCTGAATCCTTTACAAAACAATGCGCTGCTGCAGAAGTCACAACCTTGCTGTTACTAAGGCCGAGGAGCTCGGAGACACCGTTGTACATGGCAAGGGCCTGCTCACCTCAAACACCACATCGGGGATTTGGGACCTAAGGCTTCAGGGATTGACGGTGTAGGGGCTGGGTTTCGGGCTTTGAGGGTGTAAGGGTCCTGGTACGGCGATTCGAGCCTATGGACAGAGATAGGACATTCATAATCTGGAGTAGTCCATGCAATGTCAAGAATACGAAACCTTCTGAAACCCGAGACAACTTTTACGACAGATCGTGCAATCCATAAACCGCGAACCATCCTGCATAATTAAGCCTTAATTGACCCTTCAGGCTGCTGTAATTCATAATCACAGGCTTCGGGCTTCGGCACCCCCGTGTACATCGACCCACCTGGTGAAAAATCAATTGTCTACACAAGTAGGCGGGCGGAGGCCCGCGGATCATCATGACCAGTCACTGTCGAGGTGGTCATCATCAGAAACACGCCAACCTGCCAGTTGTCTGGGGATCCTGCTGTCGCACGCGGCGTGAACCAAACGTTCGTGCATGCCCCCGCTGATCTGCCAAGGACGGATGTTGGCAACGAAAAAGCTGACAACTCAAATCAACCGACTTACATTCCAACCGATCCAACCATGTGCCGCAACCCCAACCCCCAAACCTGGAAGTTGTCCTGTCAACAGTGTAGATTTGGAGCAAGCGGAAAGCGAAGCCAACAACGTTTCTGCTCCCAAGACGGGGTTTGAATGCTTCGGGTTCAACAGTTGAGCGGATTAGCTTCTCGATGCGAGGATGTTGTGTTGATGCGGGCGGTGTGCTTTGTTCGCTTTTGAACACAATCTCCGGAAAGGCAAGATCCGTGTTGCCAGCGACAAAACCACCAAAACGTGCTGTGAGGTCGATGCTGGGGTCGGGACGCCAGATCTGCCTAGCTGCTTGCTGCTGCAAGTGGGGCATCGAATTCGACACCATCCCCACACTGAATGTCTTCGTTCTAGCGGACTCCGCATCAAAAACGACTGAAATCTAGAACTTGAGAACGTCGTAATTTCAGCGTGCATATTTGTGAATTGTTTCTGTTCGTAAACTGAAGAACGGTCCACACAAAAACAGCTATCAACAAAACGGATGCTCTCCCCTTTCTTGTCGACTGTAATCGTAGACGCCCAAGAATCGGTAAACAACTCAGTCTCAGCGGGTCATCGGATTTCATCCGACCTGTCTCGGTGGTCATACCTGCCCAGTCAAGACACTTCGCCCTGCGGACAACCTAAATCAAGCGACCCAGAATAATTCAACCTTTCCTTTTTTAAAACAGTTTCAAGCTCGAAGACCGAGGTATTGTCGTGGCAAACTTCATGCATTTGTATGAGAAGTGAAACTATCAAACTGATTGGGCGTGCAGAAACTATGGTTACGATTCAGTTACGATGAAAGGGATCATGCTCTGCATGGGGCATCTTTCTTCAAATTTCAATCGCTGCCAAGGTTGAGGTTTCCGGAGCAAAACATCGGATTCACACTTCTGTGTACCTACCGCAAGGTATCTATGTGCTTTTTCTCGATTGCAAGCACTGTGTAAGATCTCGGCACGAAAATCACCCAATACCTCTCAAACCCCCACACCTACATTGCTGGATCTGCGCAGTTTCCCAGCTTGGCCCCAGAAGAGCAACATGGTGAATGTCAATGTCTCGTAAACATAGTCTTGATGCAGTTGGTACCCGCGAGATGAACTTCAAAGCTTGCAACCGACCCCTGGACAGCGGATGGCGGGACGCGGTGCAAAAGAAACAAACTTCTGCTCGACGCCAAAGACCCTGAACCTTCCTTTTCTGAGTATATAAGGTAGGATCTTTCTGGAGAATACCCCAAGCCGTCAATCATACCCCCACGCCTCTGTCCAAAGCACCCAGAACTGAAACCGAAAACCCTAAACTATTTGGTTGGGCACATACGTTTTATTTGAGGTTCAGAGGGCCCATCAGAGTGATGAAAAATATCAGATTGGAGTAATTAGGGTTTGCAGTGCTCATTCATAAACACTACATTGCAAGATCGGCTGTGGCGGCTGATGACGCGCCGTAAAAGCTCGAGGGCACCACCGCGAATCCTGAGCCTGGCCCTATATGTACGGTTACTAGGGTTTAGGGTTTAAAGTGTAGGTTTTCGCTGCTGCAATGGAGAAAAAGGCAGGGTGACGGTCAATGTACTGGGTGCTCGTCGAGCCGAAAGCCGAAACCCTAAGCCTTTTAAACCCTCAACCTTGAGCTCGGAGCCCAAACTACTCAAACGCAAGACCCTGAGCCGAAAACCGAAACCCTAAGCCTTTTAAACCCTCAACCTTGAACTCGGAGCCCAAACTACTCAAACGCAAGACCCTGAACAGTGTAGGGGCAACAACAATCAAATTCACGAAACAAGGTATATATATATATATATATATATATATATATATATATATATTAATATATATATATATATATATATAAATATATAAATATATATATATATATATTATAGGTATTCAAAGCCCCCATGTCAGCCACTCCAACCGTGGTCGTGAACTTTCAAAGCCATGCGAAAGCGTGCAGCAGCTACACCACAACCTCTAACGATCAAGCCCCAAATGCTCCAAACGCTTGAACCCTATCCCCAATTAAACACGATTGATCGAGATTTAGGGTTGTTTCGCAAGCCTTAAAGTATCGTACCTTCCCTAACACTTTGCACCTTGGAAGGCTACCCAACGCGACCAACCCTGGACTCCAGACCCCGTCAGAAACTTCACCTGCAAGCCGAGGACACATAACCCAAAACCACAATCCAGAAAGTATCCAAGAAGCCCAAACAACTCAAAATAGCGTAACCATAAATTCAAAAAAAACACAAGTAAATCGCTCAGGCCTCAAACATAAATCGAAGAGGAATATCTCGTTCGACTTCTGGCCTGATACTAGTATACAAGGCTCATGTAAAGGGCTCTATAAGGGATCTAGACATCTGCGAGCAGTATGGATCTATTACAACAATGGATGTATTGCACTTGGGTTAACGGGCTTCTGAGGGTTTTGAAGGCTTAGGGACATATGGTGCAGGGCCGCTACGCCCCCCCCCCCCCCCCACCCCATGATCCTGTAGTTCCCTGTGGTGTGGGTTCCCTCCTCCCGTCCCCCCTGTGGTTGAGGTCGGCTTCCACCCCTTCCATGGCTATTGCTGGTTGGGTGTCCAGCTGCTACTTGTTGGGACCTTGGGATGTGATACACTTCTACTGGGTTCCGACCCGCCCTGAGCTCTAAAGCCAATGATAGTGATCTGGTGATGATAATGACGAAGATGGTGGTCATGATCCCCATCCACACTCTCCTTCGGTCCCTTGCTCAAGAGTCCCGAATGAAAATCATGCAAATTCGTGCTCAAGCTTACTTTTCGAACCCAACCGCAACTTGGCTTGGAATGACAACAGTCGATACAGTTTTCGCAAGAACATCACAAGCCAAGCACGATTTCCAACTATATATAGCAAGTAGCGTGCGGTGCCGAAGCCCAGTGCAACACAAGCGCAAAGGTACCACCAACAGTCACACTGGGAATAGCACATAACATCATTGGGCACAACATCATCGCCTTCTCATCTGTATGTCGAAGGGGAGGGGAAGGGAACGGGCCCTGTTGTTCCCTGTCCCGTGGTCCTATGGGTTGGGGGTTATCCCTCCTGCTCCCCGCGTTTGCTAAGGCGAGAGGCCTGGCTTGGGGGGGGAGGTACGCGGATGACGTGTGATTGTTTGCTGAGAGGCCTGGCTTGGCCTGCGACGCGGCACCATATATGGATCAGGGTTTAGGGTTTTAGGTAGGGCTCTGTGGAACCTCTGGGGGTTTAGGGTTTAGGGCTTTGCAGAATTAGCGTATCGGGGTTCAGGGTTTCAGGGTTATATGCAGCTAGGATTCAGGGTCGTATGGAGTCTGATGATCTGAGGTTTGGAGAAGGAAGGTCTATTCAGGCTTCGGGGGTTCTGGGGTGTAGGGCTTAGGGGATTGTGCTTGAGATGAAATCAATAACTAACAAATTTCAAGGGGTCCATGCACCCAAATAGGACATACGTTGGCCTTAAAGAACTCCCTATATAAGTACATTATGGCCGAAGTATATATTATTTGGGTACATGGGCCCTGAGGGAACTGAAAGAACCAAACTGACAGCCTGCAGCTTTCTTAGGCGTTTAGTTACCAGACTAGGGATCGATAGTAAATAACATGGGAGCTCTTATTGTGGTAACTTAAACTAAATGTCCTATACCCTTAAAGGGAACCCTTATAGATCTCTTAAAGGCATCTTGATAATTATGTCCCCACTATTGTAACTTAAACCCAATTCCTTAACAAGAACATCATGGTTCCTTTAAGCAAAAGGTATTAAAGTATGGTACTCCAAATGCCAGTTGTGGTAACTTACAGTAGAAGCCAGAAAGTTGGAATATCATTATCGTAACCCCTTTAAGGTAAGTTATAGGGGATCCTACCATTAATCCATATTCCAACTTTCTGGAGTTCCCTTTAAATTCAATCCCTTAACAGTACAGAATCCAATCTCTTGGGGCACCGGACACCTGCGAGAGGAAATTGGCAGCATTCGCCTCCCGATTTGCAGACACAGCGGTTTAGGGCTTTAGGGTTTAGGGGCTTGGGGTTTAGGGCTGATGATCTGGATTTTGGGAGTTTGGGGGTTTTAGGGCTTAGGTCACATAAAGTTGGTGGCAAGGGTCAAGTTTTTTCGGAGGAGGCTGCGTGCGCGGGCTTCAAGTTTTCGCTTGAGCAGTCTGAGGTAACCTTCGCCCTAGAATGATGTAGGGTTTGAGGTTTACAGGCTTTGAGGCTATATGCAGGGTGTAGGGTTCAGTGTCGGGGACATCGGCCATGTGAGAGAAATTCCTTCAGAATACGGTACAGTTCTACTATCCGAAGCCCTAAACCTTGTAAGTCCCACTCATTCCGTTTCCGACCCGAGCCCCACCGCTCCGTGTGAGGAAGCTTTGAGGAACTACACAAGCTGCTGCTCACCGGAAGAGATGGTCTGTTGCCCCGGTTTGCATCTCATACAGAAGCCATATAGCTTATGTCAACAAGGATTGGATATTGGTATTGCGCAACAAGGAACCCCACTGTCAGGGACAGTGTTGGTGACTGGTTTGGGGCTCGCGATAAGTATTGAACCCTAAACCCTAAACCCAAAACTCTATGTACACCCTAAACCCAAAACACTAACTATTGATCTTCAAGCAGGAACCTGGGTGAGAAGGAACATCATTTTGCAGGCTCTCGCGGGGAAGTACACGCCCCGATGCGACAATCTGGGACTGAACCTTTTGTAATCCGTCTCACTGTTACCTTAACCTACCAAAACCTACTTTTTTTGTAGGGTCCCTATAAATTCCGCATTCGGGTTTATAATAAGACCCTACACACAAGTAGGTTTTGGAAGGTTAAGGCTAAGGGAGATGCACCTCAAGTGTATCCTTATGCAAGAACAAAGCAAGACGCAGCTCGACGGCAATTGCAAATCCCAAACCCACCCCCTTTGCAGAAATTGTGCACCAACACCACGGCTGATCCCACCCGACACCCTGCACCCTAAACCCTAATTATGGTTCGCACCAACCGAAAAGCTTTCCACCGCTAAACCGCCAGAGGTTGCAGTCTAGTGAGAAACTTGCAGTAAAATCATGCACTCCTAACCCTAAGGCTCCATGTAAGTATAGTATGCTTTGGGTCTGAAGTACCTATACAGGGACCCAAAGGATACATGTACTGCTTTGGTACATGGTCAGGTACATGGGGCAGGCCGAGAATCTGGGTCAAGGGTCGGAAGCACTTAAGCTGATTCGCGCAAATGGCTCCTGCAGAAGAAAACACAGGAAAACGCAGATACACCTAAGCCCTCGTCAAGGCTGTAAACCCCTTCAGAGACAGCAAAACCTTTCGCGACCCATACACTCCTCCACGCCGAGTTATAGAGGTCCCTAAGTGAACCCGAACCCCCCGGCCCAAGCCCAAAGAATGTGGAACAAGCCTTTACAGACCCCTACGAAGCCCTTCGCAACTACGAAGCACTCACCGTCCCCCGGCCTGGCCGGCGATACCTTGCTTTTTCTTGCCCTTCCGCTCCTGGACAGGACGCACAGGTTATAGAATTCACAGGGTCCATACACTACCATGATGGCATTAGGTCGGAAAAGACCATCCCTAGCATGGTTTTGGGGGCCTAATTCCGTAGCAGTCGTGTAACGTGTATAGGACCCTCTGGGGACGGTATCGGAGGTTACAGCCAGGCTTCAGAAGCGTTATCAAGACTGTACAGGCCCAAAGGCTGTAAGTGCCAATCTAGAAGAGATTCTGGGCCCGATCAGCATAGACCTTATTGCTACTGAGGTCGTTCGGGGGATTATGGAAGTTAAGCTTTGGAGCTTCTTCGGTTTAAGGGGGCTCGGCTGCAGGCTGCGCTGGCCGCTGCGGTGCTGAAGAACTCGGAATCATGAGGCCATGCAGACCCAGGCGTCCAAATTCTCAAAGAGCTTAGGGTTTAGGGCAGGGTTTAGGGATTAGGGTTCAGGATAAGGCGGCCTTCCATGCTGGCATTCTTGGCTGAAGTTTTATCTTATTCGGTGCTTGGCATCACAGGGAGGTTCTTCGCACCGTTGAGGGTTGGCTTTGGAGTTGAGGGATAGCACATGCACAGAGAAGGAATACTTCTGCAGTTTCTACGACATCTTGCCAAGATCGACCTTCGATAGGATCTTAAACCATTGCAAGTAAGGTGGATGCAGCCTTCTCCAAGCTAACCGAAATCGCATCTGGAACCCCGTTAAATCCTTCAATGGCAGACTTCCCAACTAAACCCAAAACCCTAACCCCTTGCATCTTACATTAAACCCTTCTGGTCCTAAACCCCAAAACCCTACACCCCTCAAACCATCCTAATCCTGAACCCCAAAACCCCATACCCCTCAAAGCATCCTAATCCTGAACCCCAAAACCCTACACCCCTAAACCCCAAAACCCTACACCCCAAAACCCTAAACCCAAAAACCCCACACCACTAAACCCTACTCCCCAAAACCCCAAAACCCTAAACCCCAAAACCCCTAACTCCTAAACCCCAAAACCCCACACCCCTAAATCCGAAAACCCCACACCCCTAAACCCCAAAACCCTACACCCCTAGACCCCTAAACCCTCCACCCCTAAACCCCTACACCCTACACCCCTAGACCCCTAAACCCTCAGCCTTGGTTTAAGGAACCCCCAAACCCCACACCCCTCAACCCCTCAACCCCTAAACCCTCAGCCTTAAGGAACCCCCTAAACCCTAAAACCCCAAAACCTTACACCCCTAAACCCTCAGCCTTAAGGAACCCCCTAAACCCTCAACCCCAAAACCTTACACCCCTAAACCCTCAGCCGTGGTTTAAGGAACCAAGCGACCCAGAGCCTCCAAAACCCCTTAATTAGGGAATATACCTTAAATCATATAAGGGATCCTATTATAATTTAAGGTATATTCCTTAATTAAATGATTTTGGAAGGTCTGGGCAAGCGAGACCCCGCCTGGCGCTCTTTGTAGGCCAAGAGCCGGGCAGCCATGTCCGGAGTCACGGGAGCCACCACGCCGAGGCCCCTAAACGGTTTAGGGTTTAGGGTTTAGGGGTTTAGGGTTTAGGGTTAAAATTCTGCAAAATGGGGGGAACCCTACTTGGAGGGGGTCGGGGGACTTAGTAACTGGTTATTTTTATAAGGACTTATAAGTACCATACCCCCAATTAGGTTCCCTTTTGGGGTACTTATCAGTCTACTTCCTACCTTTCTAAGACCCCCGACCCTCCAAGTAGGGTTCCTTTAAAGGGTACCATAAAGAGTTCCTGTTCAGGGATCTATAAAGGCTTAGGATTTAGAGCTTCAGACAATGAGGGATCCGAATATAGCAACCTACCTAATTAGTAGGATCCTCATTTTAAGGACCCCAAAATGAGGTACCACGAATATTCAAAAACATGTTCAGGGTCTAGCGTGTGGGGTTTAAGTTGTAGATGGTTTTAGGGTTTGGGGTTTGGGTTTGGGGTTTTTCGGTATGCGGCTGGGGCTTAAGTTATTAACGGTTTAGGGCCAAGGCTTTGGATTTAGGAGGCCCTGCTAGGGCAAGTTCAGGGGTTGAAATTTCGAGGTTTGGGGCGCTTCGGGCCTGTATGGTTGTTCAAAGCTACTATTTGCTTAAGAACCCCCCAAAAATAATAAATATATTCCTTATAGGGGTAATATAGGGGTTATTATTTTCTATTTTTTGTGGGCTCTTAAGCAAATAGTAGAAAGGCTTTGCCACTCTGCTGGGGGTCTCTGGGTTCTGTCATAGGGATCCTTAGGGGTGTAGGGGGAGGGGGGGTAGGGGGCCTTAAGGCCCATAATAAGGACTAATAAGGCCTATTTAAGGAAATATAGTCCCCTACACCCCTCCCCCCTACACCCCTAAGGATCCCTATGATTCTGGAGTTGGTGGGCAGGCTTCAAGGGTGCGGGTTTATAGGGCTTATAAGGATTGCTTTGAAATGGGCCCTGAAAGTGGCCGCTAAACGAACCCTTAGAGGATCCCTTAAGGGAACCCTTCCTTGACCTGATAGGAAACTTCACCCTTGAACTTCGGATCTATCCGAGTCTTCTTGATCAAAGGTGTTGCGGCTTCGACAGTAGAGGCCCTGAGCCCTAAGCCCTAAACCATTCACTACCCTAAACCCTACCTCAACCCCGAAGAACCTACATTTTCAAGGACATGCATAAAGAAATCATAATAAGGATCCCTCAAACGGTAGGCTATTCAGGGCTAAAGTAAAGCCTGAACCCTAAACCTTGAGTTGAGGCGTGTCTTGAAGCGTCGGACCTTGAGTTCAAGGCTTCTCTTGAAGCATTCGGCTAGATAGTCGACGAACATGTAACAAGTTATACAGTAACTCACCCCCAAAGTCTTAGCTGAAACGAAACATGAGCTTCAGACCCGTGAAATCCAACAGCCCACAACATGACTTATGTTTTGTGAGGGGCGAAAGCGCTGAAGCACGGTTTTTGTGGTCGTGAACCTGAAACTCTGCACCCTTACTGTGACCCGGGTTCGGTGAGTTTGGATTTGGGGTGTGGGCTTGGTGCTCACGGTTTAGAGTTTGGGCGCCTCGATGTGCGGATCACTGCTAGCACTCTGAATCCTAGACCTCAAGCACTGGGACTTCTGCTGAGCACCCATTCCGCTGCTCGCCGCCTTACAATCTGGCTTGATGTTGGATGAGGTGTCCATTTTGTCACGGGCATTTACTGCTATTGCTGCGACACTGCAATAGCCGTGAGGACGCCAGGTATCACTGAAAAAAACTCGCTGTCTCACTATGCGACACATGCGGACAGGGTAGTTGCGCTAAGCGAAACATGATTTTGGGGCGCTTAGAGTTTAGGGTTTTGGGTGCGTTTAGGGTATAATACGTTTTGGGGTGGTTAAGGTTTAGGGTTTTGGGTCGCTGAGGGTTTAGAAGTTTAGCTGTGCTTGGGGGTGTTCGGGTCTGGGGGTATTCATTGCTGCCTTCCCTGCCTCCCTCACTTTCCCTTGCTCGGTTGCCGCCTGTTTCCATATGTTAACAAGGAAGCTCTTCTTCTCCAGGTTTCTCACATTGGCTTGGCGGAAACCAGCAGCATACCCCATCCGTCCTGACATTCTCGTGTCGGAGAGCTGGGAGGTTCCCGTCCCGTTCGCCGGCGATGCACCACCCACGCGTCTGTCCAATTGGATCACTTGGAAAGCCTGTCGATGCCGTTTTCATAGCCGAAGAGACTCGGTGGTGTTGGCGGCCCTCGCCAGTCTGCAGGATATCTGGAACAAACATCTCGGACCTGCTTGTCTTCTTGATCTTGTCCCTGCATCGTCTTTGCTGCCTGCACCTTGGGAGCACCAGCGGACGCAAACCCAGCCACGTCTGAATTGAAGGCTCTGTGCACAGCACAATTCGAAGGATCCGTGGTACTTGCAATTCTGTCTGCATCGCAAGTATATACAGTAGAAGCCAGAAAGTTGGAATATCATTATCGTAACCCCTTTAAGGTGAATTATAGGGGATCCTACCATTAATCCATATTCCAACTTTCTGGAGTTCCCTTTAAGATCTTCAGTGCTTACGAATTCAGGGCTTCAGGTCGAGATCATGGGACTTCACAACCCTAAACCCTAAAACCCTAAACCCTACAAACCCTAAAACCCTCAAACCCTAAACCCTAAACCCTATAAGCCATGAAACCCTAAACCCTGAACTCTCAAGCCGGATGCATACAACCCTACTAGCTGAGTTGCTTAAACCCTAAACCAATAGCTCCTTACTAACCCCCCTTCACCCCGCCCTCCCCATCACAACAAAACACAACAACACAAACTCTAACCCAAAGGCTAAGCCGTGAATGAACCCTAGAGCCCAAAAGGATCCCATACAGTATCTCAGTACCCCTTTCTTAGCTGCCGCCCCCCCAAAAGTGTACACTTTTAGTTTTATAGTGCGTAATATTATCCCAAAAAGTGTAAAGTGTATCCACTCAGCTACTAAGCTTGTTGCTACCACAGAGCCTTTATTTAAACTTAAGCGGAACTCTAAAGGCCAGAACCACGAAGATGACTAGCTGAAGAAGGCCTCAAGTCTGTGGGCTCTCGTAAAACCCTGGAGCCCAAACTTCCCCGGGCTTACCTGAACCGTAAAGCACCCGAAGCCTCCATGTGCCCAAAAAAGTAGATATAGGCCTTATACAGTACCTAGATAGGAGCCTCTTGAAGGACAAACGTCTATACTACATGGGCACGTGGAGCCTTAGGGGAACCTACCTTGTTGGGGTTCCTTTGTTTGGATTTCTTGATACATAATGTCTGTATATAAGTCCTTAATTAAGCAGGTAAGCTTTATAGGGTCCAGGTAGGGTTTAGGGTCCGGCTTATTGAACACTTAACCCCGAAGAAGGTTCAGGGCCTGGGGTCCAGCTGAGTCAGGGCTACAGGGTTTAGGGGCTTAGGGTTTTCTGAGTTGGGTTCCTTGAATGACCTTAAACTTGTTTGCCCTAAGGGTCCAAGTGCCCAAATAGTAGGGTTTCAAGGTCCAGAAACCATTCAGAGTATGGATTTTGGGACCTAAACCCCTACTATTTGGGTACTTGGACCCTCTGGGTTGTGCTTCGAAGCTAGCAAGAAACCTTCCGCAGCATGCATACATGGGAGTTTCCGAAAATAGGGGACCCTAACATAGTACGCTGAATAGTAGGACCCTTATTCAGGACCCCCCAAAATAAGGTACCCCCTAATTTTCGGAAACTCCCACTTTCCTAGCCCTGCCAGACCACAACTGCAAACCTGAACCCTTATTCTTGACTTGGGAGTTTCCGAAACACCTTGTTCGGGGGGTCCTTATGATACGGATCTTTCTGTTTAGGGTACTATTTTAGGTTCCCCTATTTTCGGAAACCCCCACTGCAGTCAACCGAGCCATGACCCCAGAAAACCTGGGCCGCGAACGGGTGCGGCAGGTCGCGATTGAGGCGCGAAATGTGCAACATCCTGCGCGAGAGCTCACGAACAGCCCGAAATGCTTTCAGCAATTTGTACCAAAAACGATATACAAGGACTACTTGGACCCTTAGGGATAGGTTTCAGGGGTTGTGTTACGGAGTGAAGGGTCCGTCTATACTTACTTCTAGCAGTGCCTTTTTTTGCTGTCGTTGCGCGGGCGCGTTTTTTTCCCTAGCACATGGTCACCTAGTACCCAACCAAGGCAGACTAAACAGCGATCCTCCTGAATAAACTTCAGGCTAAGACAGCCGAAACTACCGAAGCCCTCCATTAAGCATCTTACTGCTGTAAACAGCGTCTAGAAGAAAGTCTAAAAGCTTCATCCCTCCCCATCACACCAGTAAAGCCTTGTAACTACAGCTTATCCTAAGTAGGTCCCTAAGCCCCGGAACCCCTGTACTTTATGATGGAACAAAGCCCTTATTGACACCGGAAACCTCATTAAACACAAACGGGAAGTTCATAAAACAAGTAATGAAAAGAACCCGGATACACCCGTTGGAACCATGTTTCAGACCCCCAAACCCTCCTAAACCCCTGAGCCCTAAAACTTTAAAGCCCCGCATTAGCCTCACGGAAGCTCGTAGAAACCGTATGCAGAAACTCATAAAGGAATCCTCCAAGGCACACTGAAACCCACCAAAAGACCTTGTAAACACTAAGCCCTAACCCGAGACTCTCATCCCCATACCCGAAACCTTAAAACTAAGGCCCTAAAACCAAGGCCCTAGACCTAGATCCTAAACCTCAAACCCAAAGCCCTTAACCCCGTAAGCCTTAAGCCCTAAACCCTCAGCTAAATCCTACACCCTATAACCCCAAAACCGAAACCCCAAGTCGTAAACCCGATAAGCCTATAAACTATATCTCTAAACCCTAGCCTAAACCCTAAAACCCTAAACCCTAGGAGCCTCCAGCCTTAAGCCCGAAGCCCTATCCCAAAGGGTCCTACGCTTTGGGGGAGAAGTCCCCAAATCAGAATGGTAATTCCTAATATGGAAACCCTACATGCAACTTTGTAGGTACTTTGGACCCTTTGGGTATAGCTGGCCTCCCGAAAGATAACCCTAAACCATAAACCGTATAAGCCCTAAAACCCTAAAACCCTTACACCCGAAACCCCTATAAACCATAAAACCCTATGAGCCCTAGAACCCTAAACAAACCCTGAAAACCCTACAACCCTAAACCCTAAGAAACCAAACCCTAAACCCTAAAACTCTATGAGCCTTAAGCCCGAAACCCTATAAAGCCTCAACCCTAAACCCCTGCAAACCCTAAACAAACCCTATGAGCCATAAGCCCGAAACCCCTTTAGTTGGCCTCCCGGAAGTTGATTGGCATCTTCTTGGGCTGCGGAGACTCCGAGGACTTGGAGTTCATGTCGGCTGCCTGGGGGCCGACAAGTCTGGGGTTTAGGGTTTAGGGGTTAGAGTATATAGGGTTTAGGGTTTAGGGCTTCTAGGGTTTAGGGTTTATAGGGTTTGGGGTTTCAGGGTTTAGGGTTTATAGGCCCTTGTGGTGGGATTTATGTGCTGAAAAAGCTTTTTGCGGTGGTCTAAATCTTAGGGATTATATATGGTTTGGGGCCTAGGGTGTATATGGTTTTGTTTTGGCAGGATGTGAGGGTTTAGGGTGTAGGGCTCATGGGGTAACTAGGGTCAAGAATTTGAAAGGTTTGAGGTTTATAGAGTGTGCAGGGTTCATAGTGTTTCAGGTTCAGGTTGGAGGGTCTTATGGGTTTCTCTTCGTGGATGTAGGGTTTCGGGTTTAAGGGTCGGGCATTTTGGCCGGTTCCAGTACAAACCCTAAACCCTCAACCCCAAACCGGCTTGTGTACAGAGATTGACAAATGCTGTAATCCCTATAAGACCTTAACCCTAAGCCCGAAACCCTAAACCCTAGAAGCCCTAAACCCTATGAACCCTGAACCCTAGACTTGTCGGCAGCTCTTTAGAGGTTTTTTGGATTTACGATGGCTGCTATAGAGTCTTCGTGGTGGGGGGCCGAACTCCGGGCCACCATTGGGATTATCCCTCATAGTGATTCGGGTTTAGGGCTTATATATGTTTTGAGTGCAGGCGCAGTGCGAAAAGTCAAGTATGAAGCTCTAGTAGATGCTGTAATCTGCAAACCCTAACCCTAAACCCTAAACCCTATAAGCCCTAAACCCTAAAACCCTAAACCCTACAAACCCTAAAACCCTAAAACCCTAAAACCCTAAACCCTAAACCCTATAAGCCATGAAACCCTAAACCCTGATCTGCAAGCCTGGAAGGCTTGGGATCCGACTGGGGGCATTTGCCGCGGAGGTGGGGCGCCACGAGGAGACATTGGGCCCTTGGCATTGCAGGCGTTTCCAGGGTCCCTCCTTTTCCCCTTTGCGTTTATGAGAGAGCATAAGTCTTGGATATCTCGGTCAAGCTTAAACGTCCCGCTGCAGACATCCGCAAATGAAATCCCAGTGGTTTAGGGTTTGGGGGGGTATCTGGAACCCCCAAAGTTTGCAGAAAGAGTGTCGGTTGCGATACGGACGGCTTGACTTTGCGAGGGTACAGTACCAGTAGGAGCGGCGGTGCTGACTGGGCTCTCCATTGTAGTTCCTTTAATTTTTTGGTTAACCAATGTTGTGGTTAGGCTCCTATAATAGAGTTTTTGGTTAACGAAAAAAAGGGAACTACAATGGAGACTATAGGTAGGGCCAAGATTGGGCCTGAACTAAACCCCGAAACCGCAAAGGTATCCAGCTCATGGATCCTTTGGTTCTGGGCGGTGGCCAATGCCAGGTAAAAAGGGCTACTGCCCTAAAGGTCCCATGTACTGTAGAGGCCTTAATATATAAACAGAATAGGGTTTTGGGTTTAGGGTTTAGGGTTCCATGTACTATAGTGGCCTTAATAATTAGAATGGGGTTTTGCGGTCCATTATATTATACTTGTAATAAGGAACCCCCCCAAAAAAATAGTACAGGTAATTGTTCAGGCTCCTATATCAGCCATATGGCATTGACTTTAAGTAGTAATGCGACTACTTTAAGGCCACCCCCCAAACCCTACAATCCGTGGCAGTCGTTCAGCGGGATGGCGACTACTGCACCCTATAAGCCCCAAACCCAAAACCTGGTAATAGCCCCGACGCTAAGCATGAACCCAACGTTTACAGCTTAAACCTAAACCTTGAACTCTAAATTCTGAAGCCCCAACCTTCAGCACCCTAAACCCTGCCTACCTTACCAAGACTCCCGGCCGGCGCCCGCTGCACGTCAGCCATGGCAACCTCCTTGACGGGCTTGATGCTATGGCCCTGGTGGGACTTGGGGCTCTAGGCGATTAGGGTTTGAGGGGTTCAGGGCTCTAGGGGTTTAGGGTTTTGAGGGGTTCAGGGTTTTAGGGGATTTAGGGGTTTAGGGTTTTGAGGGGTTCAGGGTTTTAGGGGATTTAGGGTTTAGGTGTTTAGGGGTTAGGTTTTAGGGCTGCCTGAAACTTCGGTAGGCTTGGGCTCGGTAGGCTTGGGTTTCAGGGGGCGCATCTGGGTTTATGCTGATAGGGGACTTATGTGCTGATGTGGTCAGGGTCTGTAGGGCTTATGGGGCTTAGGGTTCAGGGCTTTTTAGGCATTGAATGGTTTAGGGTCTATAGGGCTTATATGGGTTTATTATAGGGATTGTAGGGCTTATAGTGGGTTTAGGGTTCAGCCTGTGCGGGCGGCTTCATGAAGCGAAAGGGTTACCATACCTGAAACCTGAAACCGAAACGTCAGAATAACCGTTACCCTAAACCCCTGGCGGCCAACGGATTTAGGGCTTCAGGGTTAGGGATAGTACGTACTTAGTTTGGAATTTACATACGAAGACCTGCATCGAGGTGAGCCCTCACATGCGCCCTAGATAGGTGTAAGCAACATGATATTACGAGCTTACACAGGTACCTGGGTGTTCAGTAAGTGCTTCATCTACAACGGTTGGATAGACTCTTAGACAAACATGTCCCAAACCCTCAACCCTAAACAAGGTTTCGGGAGTCTGGCTTGAGGAAGGGGGTCGGAGGGCTTACAGTCAACGTACGTTATTCACGGTCTATACTAGGTTCCCCGGTGTCGCCTGAATACTAAGGGCACCCTTGTTCCTGCTACTCAGCTTTCATGAGGAAGACCTAAAGGAAACAGGTGCAAAAGGGTAGTTCTGGGGAATCTCAAACCCTAAGCCCTACAACCCCACACCTGTAAACCCAACACGCTAAGCCCCTAAACCCCTGAACCCTAAAACCCTAAACCCCTAAACCCTAAACCCCTAAAACCCTGAACCCCTAAACCCTAAACCCCTAAACCCGAAACCCCTGAACCCCTAAGCCTGAAACCTAAAGCCTGAAATCTGAGTACTCGGGGACTCCAAAGCTTTCGGGTCCCCCGGCATTCGCTTTGGCGTCCTGGCCAAGATGTAGCCCGCCAGGGGACCTTGCAGTAGCGCTGCTGCTGCTACTACTACTACTACTATACTACTACTACTACTACTACTACTACTACTACTACTACTACTACTACTACTACTACTACTCCTACTCCTACTACTACTTCTACTACTGCTACTACTACTACTACTACTACTACTACTACTACTACTACTACGACTACGGAAAGCCCCACCCTCCCCTTAAACCCTAATCCTAAGCCCCATGCTCCAAACCCCAGCGCCAAAACACGAAACCCAACGCTCCCTTCCTGAGCCACCCGGCGCTCCCCCTTTGGGAGGGCCGGGCGGCGACGGAAGATTCGCCGAGGTCGGCTGGGACATGACCTTCCATGGTTGAGGGGTAAGGGCTTCAGGCTTTAGGGGGGTTTCGGGCTTAGGGCTTTGGGTTTAGGAGTTTGTGGGTTTGTGTTCGATTTTCAAGCCGGCTGGGACTCAAAGATAGTTTCATGATGTGCTTCCCTAAGGTTCCCATGTACCCAACTAGTATGTACATGATTCCATAAGAAGCTGTATAGGTCCTATTTTAAGGCCAAAGTATATGATGTATGAGCTGGACATGAACGTATTTACTAAAGCTTTGAATGCCTGAAGACGGGCCTGAAAAAGGGAGTTCTGCCAGACGCAGAACCGACCCTGTTCCAGAAACTTCAACCCCCGAAGGCCTCTGTATCTATATGGGAGTTTCCGAAAATTAGGGGTGCCTTATGTAGGGGTCCCTATACGAAGGATCCTACTATTTAGGGTACTTTTCTAGGGTCCCCTATTTTCGGAAACTCCCATATGGGTTGGGTGCTGCCCCCCCCAGCCTGTAACAGTCAGATCAAGGGCTATACAGTATCATAATAACAAAAACAAAAAATAATGGTACTAATAGCAATATGTATATGTATAGGTGTTTATGTTGCTCTATATATATATATATATATATATATATATATATATACATATATATATATATATATGTACACATATATGGGCGTTGTCCAATATTCCTTTGTCCTAGTTTTAGCCCTTGGTCCGCGCTTGCGCAGACCTTGCGCGCGCTTGCGCGCACACACGAATGTGTAAACATGCATTCGCGTGACACGTAACTACAGAACAACTGCTTACAACGGATGGTTATAGTTGAGAATGCTTTGACTCAACGCTGCATGGTGGCAGTAGCAGTAGTTGTAGTCGTAGTCGTAGTTAGTCGTAGTAGTAGTAGTAGTCGTCGTCGTAGTAGTAGTAGTAGCAGTAGTAGTAGTCGTCGTCGTCGTAGTAAGCTCGCCACGGGCCCTCTCACCTCGTGCTCGGCTTCCGAACGACGGTGGAAGTGGGAGTGGCAATAGTATAGTAGTGGTAGTAGTAGTAGTAGTAGCAGTAGTAGTAGCAGTAGCAGTAGCAGTAGCAGTAGCAGTAGCAGTAGCAGCAGCAGCAACAGCAGAAGAAGAAGAAGGGGCAGCAGTAGTGGCAGTGACAGCAGTGGCAGCGGCAGCAGCAGGAGATGGTTGTAAGGCTGACCGTCATCCAGCCATTTCTGGAAGAGCCGTGTCAAGACCAGAGTGGACCAAGACCTTCAAATCGGTTTGCGTGCTTGCGCGCACCTTGCGCGCACCTTGCGCACGCCTTGCGCCAAGTTACGCAGGTGTTTTGAAATTTTTGGAGTGGTACTATACGTACTTGCCATGAAAATGGCGTGACCGTCTTTCGTAAATCTCCGCCTGATAACCGCTTGACACCTCGAGCATACATCACATTGGCGTTTACTTGGATGAGCTCATAAAAATACCGTGGTGAAGGATCTGCACTGGATAATGCTTTCGGATCTTGGATGGAATGAGCAAGAATTCACCCATGCAAAACCTCTCTCGCTTTCGGCAGAACGTGTCGAGATCTTACCGACTGTACATACATACATACATACATACGCATAGACATATATACATAAATAGACATCCTTGTCTTTAGACCTTGCGCGTCCCTTGGTCCGAGCTTGCGCGTACCTTGCGCGCGCGGCCTTTTCGCCTCCTTTATCATGTTAAGATTTAGCGCTTAATAAACACAAGCCAAGGGTTTTCGGACGCAGCTCATATATATATATATATATATATATATATATATATATATATATATATAGGGAGGGAGAGAGAGAGAGAGAGAGAGAGAGAGAGAGAGAGAGAGAGAGAGAGAGAGAGAGAGAGAGAGAGATAGAGAGAGAGGGAGAGAGGTAGAGAGAGTATAAATATTGCCCAACTGTTACAGAGTGGGGGCAGACACCAATATGTAGTTTATACTTCGGCTGTCAGGGGATCCTAGCTAATTGAAGGCACAGTAGATACCACCTAGGTGCATGCGCACTGTGACTGCCTGGTTGACGCAGAATACAGACGCTCTATATCAGATAGGAGTTACCACAGGACGCAAACTACCGTAATCTGCTACCTTTGCGATATTGGTTACTTGCACCTGTCTGCTGTTAAAGTCACACGTATACCTTGCAACCGTCATCACCCATGCTACAAACTACGAAACCTAAAGTTTGAATCGCGGAGCCGAAACGCTTGAACTCAATGGCTGGAATCCTAAACCGTTGCACAGAAAGTCACACAGACACACAGACACACACACACACACACACACACACACACACACACACACACACACACACACACACACACACACACACACACACACACGCAAGAACACGTCCAGCCAGCCCTGCATCCTTAAACACCGGACACAAAGATCGAGAAACGGCCCACTAAGGCATGTGCTTCGTGGGCTCTACACTCAAAGGCCCTAACCAACGCCTGAACCGCATTTACAAGACTCCCCCCGCCACACCCCGGTTGCTTAGCCTGAGACCTAAAACCCGAAATCCTGAATGCTGCGAACTCTCACGAAACCCTACAACGGAGGCCGAAACAGCAAGCATAGGTATTCCTGACACCAGTCGTCCGTCCTTAACCCATATTCCAACTTTCTGGATTTCCCTTGAGGACAGCAGCAACCAAAGCCTAAAGCCGCGAACACCATGAGCAGCTGCAATCAGAATGCTCCACGCCCCGCCCCCGGCCCCCTCCCCAAACCCCCGGAACCCTACACCCGACACCCAAAGCAAACTCCTCAAGCTGCCATGTCGCGGAATTGGCATCGTCCTCCTTCTCGTTCAACGGAAGCCTGGCCCAACTCTTCAGGCTGCTGGTATAATAGCTCAAACAATGATTTAGGAAAACTGCCTTGAGTCCCAAGGATTAGCATTTAGGGTTTAGGGTTTAGGCTTCCCTGTAGGTATATAACCGATAAATGGTTATATCTAATGATGAAGGGGCATCTCTGTGGCTTCTTGTGGCGCATGCGAAGATGCTTGTCGGGCACCGATGTCAACCACGGCATTGTGCCTCGTTGCTGCTCATGGTCCACCACGGGAAAATGCACTGGCCGAACCAAATGATTCAGCAAGCAGTTGCCATGTAGGCGCGAATGCGCCTAATCACATGACAAGCCATACCGGGTCGCATCTTCTCTCACAAGCACATGCGGCACAGGCTCATCCACGGACCCTTTCATACTGGCTTGGAGTATCGCAGCCTGAGGCGCAACTCCGATGCTCGGAGCGCTCATCCCTTGATTCTGCATGACATTAAGTCGTGCTGCCATAGGCAAGGCGCGGCTGGTGCGATGCTCCCATGCGTACACGGTTGAAGATCCGCTCTCAGCCAGGTTCAATTCTTGGGACCGGTCCACTCGGTCGGCCCCAGGTCCATCTGCCCCAGGCGCTGCACCATTGATTGCAAAGCAGCAGCTGGAGAAATTTGTCCCTGACAGACGGACATCATCGCGCAACGACAACTCGTAACTAGCCGGCTTTTCCCAAGCCAAATGGGTGGTTGTCAAAATCATGGTCCCTTTTTGGGTCCCGAATATAGCCCGGCACCTATTATTTAGGGAACCCTCTATACTGAACTTAGAACCCTAGCAACAATTATGATTTTAGCTGTTTCTTAGGGATTATAATAACCCAAATTTTAAATCATTTCTAAGTACCCCTAAGAAGAAGGGACCCTAATTTTGACAACCACCCAAATCCAGATCGGCGCCATCTTCTGAGCAGCTGATCGTCGCGACGACTGTCGGCCCGAGCTCCACGCCGCACCTCATGTCGGTTTAGGGTTTAGGGTTTAGGGTTTGGGGTTTAGGGTTTAGGGTTGAGGGTTTAGGGTTTAGGGTTTAAAGGGTTGAGGGTTCAGGGTTTAGGGTTTAGGGTTCAGGGTTCAGGGTTTGGGGTTTGGGGTGTCTTTGCACTTAAAGTGCACCAACCCTGAGGGTCCATGTACTCATATAGTATATACATAGGCCTGAAAGTACGCCCTATATCGGCACATTGGGCCCAAGGTATGTGCTATATGGGTACATGGACCCTTAGGGCAAAGCATGAGTGTTAGGCATTAGGAATTGCGTGTACTCAGAGAGTCCGGATTCGGGGTATGCGGATTGAGATGCAGGAACCAGCACCAACTCTGGTGGTCGTGACTCACAAGGACGCTCTGAAAAAAAAATGGTTGAGTGCTCGTGGCTTCGACTTGGGATTGCTTAGAGATTGGCGTCCGGAGGTGCGGGGTTTGGGAGTTTGGGAGGATTGCCCTGGTCGGAGAAGCTTGCAGCGCACAGTGAGATGACTGGTGGCATGACAAGAACTGTCATCATGACAGCTTGAAGCTTGAAAGCAAAAAGGTTCAAAGACAAAACAACAAACGGAACCCATAGCCTCTGACACCTGCAAACCTGAAGCCATGAAGCTCACACTCCTGAACCTCACAAGCCCAAAACACTAAAGCCCCGACCCAAGGCAGCCCACACCCAAAACCCAAACCCCTATAGATCCGAAAGCCTGAAGACCTTAAGCCCGAAGCAGCGATTGGCCCGAAACGAAACCCCAAACACCGCTTGGGGTTTAGGGTTTTATCTCGAAAAGCATCAAAAACGGCTTCAAGAAAAAGCAACTCAAAGGATTCCTCTGGGTCCTGAAAGAAACCGTGAACTAGTGGCCCAATCCCTGCACCTTCAGCCCTAAGCCCGAACCCCCCTGATTACAAGCTCCGTTGAATGAATCGTTAAAGGAATCCTGCTACACAAACCTCAAATGCCAAAACAGAACGCTGAAAGAACACTGTAGAGCCCTGTCCAAGCCCCATAAACCCCTTGAAGGCCTTTGAAGCCCGTGAAGGCACCCATCCAGCCATATGAAACCTTCCAACCCTCCCTAAACCCAAAACCACAACAACAACAATAATGGCAATATAGCAAGAGTAACAACAATGGCAACTTAATAATAAGATGAACATCTGAACATATTACTACGAAGAAGAAGAAATAAATAATAGCAATTATAGGAGAATCAGAAGTTGAATAAGCCCAAGTCAGGTCGACGGAGGCGGCCGGTCGGCTTTCGAGAGCTGCGAGTTCCGTCGAGGCTTCGCTGCGAGGGGTCCTTTCTCACACGGGGTTTAGGGTTTTAGGCTTTAGGGTTTTAAGGTTTGGCATGGTGTGGAGTTTGGGGTTTAGGGTTCGGGGCTTAAGGTGTTTTTGGGGTCTGGGGTTGTTAGGTTTCAGGATTTGGGGATTTAGGGTTTAGAGTTTTTGTGCAGGGTCTGAATGCATGGGATGTTAAATTGAAGGATGCAGGGTTTCGGGAAGGTTTGCTTGACAAGTTCCTTTTCATTCAGGACTTCTTTCAGACTCTTCACCTAAACCCTGAACCCTAGACGCCATAATTTGGCGCGGGTACTACTAAGACTAAGCTCAGCGGAATTCTTATATACACGGCCTCCCTCACGTCCCGCAGGTTTCGGCTTGACCATTTGGGGTCAGGCTTAGAATGGCTCAGGATTTAGGGCTTAGGGGTTTTTGGCCATGGGCCATCGGTTTACAGCGGGGCAGGTTCAGAGTGGGTACACAGGCCCACCCATATTGAACTTGTTTACGCACTCACGACCCCGCATCATAGGGATCCTTAGGGGTGTAGGGGGAGGGGGGGCAGGGGGCCTTAGGCCCATAATAAGGACTAATAAGGCCTAGTTAAGGAAATATAGTCCCCTACACCCCTCCCCCCTACACCCCTAAGGATCCCTATGAGTCTTGGTTTACCATCCCGAACGTCATAAAATGCACAGGTACAGGGCTCCTACACGCTCAAGGGGCGCATTCTCTCGCTGAGCACCCTATATCTAGACAAGGAAAGCCCAAAGGGTTCTGGTTTAGGGTTTAGGGTTTAGGGTTTAGGGTTTAGGGTTTAGGGTTTAGGGTTTAGGGTTTAGGGTTTAGGGTTCTATAGGCACCATTATGCGGGGACACCTCCTCAGATCATAATAGCCAATTCCTAATATAGAAAACCCAACATTCTACTAAAAAGGTGCTTAAGAGGCCCTTTGGAAAATGCAGGGGGGGAATCTATATAGGTACCTAAGACCCTTTGGAAAAGGCATGGGACAACCCAGGTGCGCGATGCCTGGCTGCATGCTGCGCGACTCTGCCGACAGAGGCGGTGAGGGCTCTATTGCCGCCTCTCAGCGGGTTTCAAAAGGGTGTCATGAGGGTTTAGTATAGGGCCATAGGGGCCTTCATAACTAGAATAGGCTTTGGGGGGTAACTGTATTGTACTATAGTACTATAATGGTAATAAGGAACCCCCGAAATCCTATTCGGATTGTTGAGGCTTTTCGGCGTTCTTTTGGGGATGGGGGGAGGGCTTTTCGGAATTGGGTTTTGTGGGCATCCGACGGGAAGCAGCACAGCTAATATGGGAGTTTCCGAAAATTAGGGGTACCTCAGGGTTCCTTAAAAGGGCTACTTGTACATGTTCTATGAACGGTATAGGGTTTAGGATTTCAAGTTTCCCAAAATTAAGGGTGCCTTATGTTGAGGCTCCTTATAATGATTCGGGTACCAAATAAGGGTCCCCGATTTTTGGAAAGCCCCCCCACATGGCTCAGTGCTGGTGGGAGATATCCCGGTACACATAGCGTTTGGACTTTGGCCCAATACAACTCTGAAGTTCCAAACCCTAACGCCTAGCATATGTAAACCCTAAACCCTAAACCCTAAAACCCTAAACCCTAAACCGTGGGTTTAGGGTTTAGGGGCATGTGCTTGTTCTCGGCAGTTCGGTTCATGGCAGGCTTGAAGGTCTGGGATGCTTTTGAACATCACCTCATGGATTTAGGGTTTAGTGCTACTAGGATTTCTGGGTTTAGAGTAATTACCAACTAAAGCCAGTGTTGAACTAAGGCCACAGCCTGACACCTTTACCATGCACTTCCTCAAACCAATTGCTACAACCCTAATTCCGAAAATCTACCACCTAAGTCTAAACCCGAACATACCGTATCCTTATCCAACTTCCCGAACACCGAACCGTCAAACCCCCAAAACTCACCTGAACGGCAAAAGCACCTGAACGACCCAATCCTCGTAATACTTGTTTGGAAGCCGCTAAACCCCAGCCACCCCAAGCCAATCCCTGAACTCCCCAACCCTAAAAGCGTAGAGATCAGAAACCACCCAAAATCCCTAAACCCCCAAACCCCAGACCCGAAAATCCTAAGCCCCCTAAGCTCTATGACCCTAAGGGTCCATGTACCCATATAGACTATAGAGATACATGGGCCCCAAAGTACCCAAATAGGGACTACATTAAGGCTATATGAGTACATGGACCCTTAGGGTGAGCCATTCTATGAGTTAGAAGCTGCCCCCACCCTGTTATAGTGACTATAAGGATTATATTAGGGCCCAAGTATGTTCCTACTATACCACTATTACTGGGTGGGGGCCCCTTCTAGTCTATGAGCCATTCTGATTCTGGGCTTGAGCACCACTGGCGCTGCGGCCGGTGTTGGCGCCGGAGCCGAAGAAGGCTCGGACGGGGCATCTGCGCCGATGATGACCTGGCTTGAGCCCCAAGGGTCCAAAGGACCCAATAATCGGGCACTCGGTTTTAGGATAGTAGTTATGTAGGTTAGGATTTCGGAGATTGTATGATTATTAGGTACTTGGACCCTTGGGGTAGGGGTTATGGTAGCAGCCAGAAATTGGAACATGGCTTTAGGAGGAATAGTGCTAGGATCCCTTATACTGTACCTTAAGGACTTGGGGACAATTATGTTCCAACTTTCTGGCTTCTACTATAATTCCTGGACCCTGAACAACCTCCCTAAGGACTTATGAAAGGAAATCATAAGAAGCAGTCCATAAAGAGGTAGGCTCCTTAGGGTCTAGCAGAGTTTAGGGTTAAAAGGATTGAGAAATCAATGAACAGTTTTTGTTGGTTATGAATGATTTAAAGTTCTGTAGGGGTCATGGGGGCCTTGAAGCTATGTTGGGCTTTTTGCTGCATTTTGAAGGCTCTACCAGGGCTCGGCAAGGGACTTGTGGTTTCAGAAGTATGCTTGCTGGCACTTTACCTAGACCTTAGAAGGGGGCCCCCCACCCTGTAATAGTGACCATAAGGATTATATAGGATTATATTAGGGCCCTATTATTTTCCTATTATACCACTACTACAGCGCGGGGGCAGCTTCTAACCTAGACCCCCCAAAGTAGAAAAAGATAAAGGCCCAAACCTAAAAAAGGCTATTATTCTACATACCTTTGGGGGGCAGGTAGGTGTCAAGAATTAAGACAGGGGTTCTACTGCAAAAGCCTGAGTACATTCTCAATATTATTCCTTAGGGCTCCTGGTTGTGATTATACCAAAAGATAGCCCGAAACCATGTTCAAATTACGAAGGCCGCGATAGAAACCTATAGGAACCTCTTTAGAACCCTTAAGTTTTCAAGAAACCGTATTCTAATTTTTCAGTTCACTATAATATCGCCTGTATCACGATACTCCCCCCACTGGAGAACAGACAAAGCCATATCCCGCGAACGGTCGCAAACGAGGCGGACCAACAAGACATTCTTTGCCTCAGCAACAGAGAAGAGATAGATCTGGGGCTCTAAGACTTAGGAGGGATTCGTGATGTGGGCACTTCAGGGTATGGGATTCTGGTGTCTGACATGGTTTTTCAAAGTGCGCTTCCAAGTTGACGGGATCTGTAAACAGGTAGAATTTCGCCTTGGGAGTCAGCAGAAGAGTAGTCTGGGTTGGGTACGGCCCCCACTCAGTAACGTTTGAATAATATTCAAAATATAGTTATATTAGGACCTTAATAGTATAGCCCTATTATAGATTCTTACTGTATGGGGGCAGTACCTAAAGTCTGGGTTCTAGCCAGCTCAACAAAAGCAGGTGGACTTCGGGTAGGGTGTAAAGGGGTTCAAAAACCAAGAACTGCAGTCTGAAGCCCTACTTAAAGGATCATGGGACTTAGTAAGCAGGGTTATAAGTAGGTTATAATTATGATAACCCCACTTAGGGGACTTATAACCCCAGTTATAACCTACTTACTAAGTCCCATGATCCTCTAAGTATCCCTAAGGCTCCATGTAGCCATGTAGTTTTTACTTAGACCCTTCCCAAAACCTCCTGAAGGTGCACGTTCAGAGTTTAGGATGATGGCGCTGAGGTGAAGCGTTAGGAGCTGTCTGCCATAGACTGTAAAGACTCAACCTCAACAGCCGGACACCCTGAAATCTCAAAACTGAAAAGACTGCTTTTCGCTGGTGCAGTGAATATTCCGAACGTGCCGTGCTGTAATCGCAAAACTCTACACCCTTGAGCGATACGCGCAGGTCTTTTGCACAGGAAGTTGACACAGGTGGAGCCGAACACGGAGAACATCATAGAACAACGTTAGATACAGAGATATACGATGTGTGAGTATGACAGTATTTGCTGGTGCAAGCATGCATGAATGTATGAATGCATGAATGCATGGATGGATGAATGGATGGATGGATGGACGGACGGATGTATACACATATGGGAGTTTCCGAAAATAGGGGACCCTAATATAGGACCCTAAATAGTAGGATTCTTATTATAAGGAGCCCCAAATAAGGTACCCCTAATTTTCGGAAACTCACATATAATGTACGTGCAAAAGGTACAAGGAATTCTCGAGGCCCGCACTGACACCTTTACAACTGCAGTTGGCTTGTCCCATGGCGGCGCTGCGTAATCTACAGGGATTCGGGGGTCGGGGGGCTTTCTGTAGGTGGGTACTCCGGGCTTTCGACGGTGTGAAAGGCGCTTAGGCTATCCGGGGTATCCTTATATTGATATAATAGGGGTCCTATACCCGTGTACTATGAACCCCATGTATCATAATTAACCCGATTAGTAATTAGGGTAGAGCTCGTCAAGGTTCCCGAAGCCTCTGAAAGTCTCTTGACAGCAAGTACAAGTTTTGCAGACTTACAGCTTCAGTGTTCTGAATTCATCTTGGGTTGGTATGGCATTGTGGCATTGTGATACGGGTATTTTGAGGGCGTATTGTGACTAGTTATCCCGACTCCGATATTGCGGCTTCGCGCCCCGCTGTAACAGAGGAAGCTGTGCGCGTATGGTCTAAAGTCAGTTTCCTTGACAGCCTTAACATCACGGCCTCAACCCTTGAATCCCTGGAACCCCAACCCGGTGCCTAGTTCGGGCTGTGGAAGCTAACGACCCAATGCTACAAGCGCTGAGTGTTTCGGCCGTCTGCAACGCTTGAGATAAGGCTTCGGTTGAGGGTTTAGAGCTTAGGGCTTCCACCTTCGAACAGCCCACAAGTCTGCAGACAGTAAACCCCATAAAGTTGGAAACCGGATTAAGGCCAAATAGTGCTGGGATTCCCTATACATTACTCTTAAGGATTTAGGCTATTGGGTGTATAACAACAAAAACTGGAGCACAGATTAATATCCTGAACCCTGCACCCTAAATCCTCGCCCTGCACATGGGGCCGGTGAGGCTTAGGACCTTTAGACGTAAAGCACAATGTGGCGTAACATCTGATACCCCTGAAAGTCACTTCGTAGACGAAGACCGAAACCTGAGGAGACACCGTGTGCGAAAGCTTCAGACGGTTCCTCAGTTTGCACACGAACCCACAAAACCGCAAGAGCCTTGCTACAACCCATCTACAAGCACGCGTGCTACAGCTTTCGATTGAAACCAGATAAAACAACATAATAGAGCCCCTGAATAAAACATCATTTAACAACCCCCAAACACCCTAATCACATTTTTCTTCGCAGCACTTCGCACATCGGGCTGGGAACGGGCAGTTCACATCTTCACGTTCACGTGCGGACCTCAGAGGTTCTACAGGTGGACAAGGGGCCTTTACAGAATAGGGTTTTGGTGTCCTAAGAACCACCTTGAATCTCCTTAGGGTCTATTTCGGGGTGATATCTTTGGACCCAAAGGGCTTGGGGTTGATGGTGATTCCACTATGCACATTAGGGCATCACTGGGGTTTAGAGAATATAACTTTTAAAGCAACACTGCAAGTCCTGGGATTGTGTCGAGTTTGCTCTTAAGCACTATAGGCTCTAAACTCTAAACTTTCAGAACACCTGAACCCCAAAACCAAAACCTTAGGCCCTAAACCGCAAAAACACCTAAACCCTAAACCCCAAAAACACCTAAACCCTAAACCCCAAAAACACCTACAAACCCTAAACCCTAAACCCCAAAAACACCTAACCCTAAAATCCCGAGCGTCGACTCCCTGCACCAATCTGAAACAAACACCAAAGCCCTGGCATATGAAATCGCGGACCTGTGACCGCTTCTGATTCGGTTGGTCTCATTCATATAGACGGTTTAGGGTTTAGGGTGTAGAAGCCTAGGGCCTAGATATTCGTTGAATATTATTTCTACTACATGCTCCTGCTCTAATCTTCTCTGCCCCCAAAACCCCTGCTCGAAGTGTTGACATGCCTTTTGCACGGGTTCAGGGCTGATGCATTGTGACTTCAGCTACCCATGAGGTAGCTGCCCTAAACCCTAAACCCTAAACCCAAAACCCTAAACCCTAAACCCTAAACCGTGGTAGCTGCAGTTGGCGACGTGCAGGACACGAACAAACTCTCGGGTTGGGCTTCAGCCTTCAACCCTCAAAACAACCCAGGGAATGTACCCAGGCCTTCCAAAACCCCTTATTTTAAGCGATACGCCTCAAACTATAGCAGGATCCCTACTATGATTTAAGGCAAATGAAGGGACCCTTAATAAGGACCCCTAGGCATATACCCTTAATATAGCTATTATATACCCATTTTCTAGCCCATTATTCCTTATTCCTTGATTAAGGGATATTTGGAAGATCTGGGTTGACTTGAGCAGCTGGCAATCTCTACCCAGAGGCCCCAAAGTAGTTCCTTCTTGGGATTACCTCATAAGGTAAAAGCCAGAAAGTTGGAATATGAGTATCCTAACCCCTTTAAGGTAAATTATAGGGGATCCTACCATTAATCCATATTCCAACTTTCTGGAGTTCCCCTTAATATTCTGTATAGGAACCCCGAAAAGGAACTACTTTGGGGCCTATGGGCATGACACTGCCGATAGGTTGCCGCAAGCGGAGTTTGAGGCGGCGGTAAAGTCAGGAAGAGAACTGACTGTGCCTACTACGGTTGATCATATAAATCCTGCATAACCTTAAGGACCCTAAACTATGGGAATTATGGTCTATTCCTTATTATGGGTAATGCAGGATGTATATCATCAACAGTAGTACTAGGTATACCAGGTATGCATTGCGAATGCAGCTGCTGGTGGTGGTCGTCGTCCGATTCGTCGTCACAAGCACACGGGAGCTCGAAAGCCTGATTAAACGAAGTCCGAATCCCGAAACCCTTTTTGAACCGAAATCCCGTCCCTAAGCCCTATGCCGTAATCCTAAAAGTCCCAAACCCTAATTGGGCGAACTCCTTAGCCCTAAACCCTCTTCAAAGCAAGAGTCTTCATCCTCAACCCTGATCGCATTGAGGACAAAGTGCGTCCACTGCGCTGTTTCCCGCCGTGGGCGGAAGCTGCCATGCTGCCCTTGCTGAGCCTGGTCACAGAGTCGGATCTGGGAGATTGGACCGACAGAAAATCTCGAATTGCTGATGGCATCCTAAACCCTAAACCCTAATCCAAGCCCTAAACCCTAAACCCTAACCCAAGCCCTAAAACCCTAAACTCGAAAAACAATGACTCCGGGAAAAATGAGCCTGGAGCTTTCTCAAGCCACCGCTGAAGCTCTACAGGGTGTCCGTTCTCTCTGCTTGTGAAACTTATCTAAACCCCCTAAAAGTAGGTAAAATAATGGCCCAACACCGATAGAACGCAACTATTCTACATGCTGTTTGGGGTCCGGGTAGGGTAGAATCAAGAAAGTTGGAACATTATCATCCTCATACCCATGAGGTCTAGACCCAAGAGTAACCTAGGAATAAAAAAGGGTGCCCTTTTTGGTTTAAAGGGGCTTATAAGGGAACCTGAACCTACTCTGGGTCCTAGAGGTAGAGTGTGGGGAATCCTAGTCCTAGCACACATCATCATTACTGCTCCAACTCGCTGGGGTGAACTTTAGGGTGCTCGGCTCTTAAGTTCCTAAGTTCTGTAGGGCTTACCCCATAAAGTTGGAAACCGAATTAAGGTCAAAAAGTGCTGGGATTACCTATACATTACTCTTAAGGATGGAAGCTCTTAGTTTCCCAACTTTTGGGCTTCTGCTGTAGGGCATGGGGATGTGGGGAGGTCAGTGCCAGATTCCCAAATCCCGGAGTCAAAGAACGAAGCTGGAAATTCCGACCTCTGACCGTACGGTGTTGCTCATCACCATCAGGGATTGACATCAACCCTGCATGATCTGATGCCATACAGTAGAAGCCAGAAAGTTGGAATATCATTATCGTAACCCCTTTAAGGTAAATTATAGGGGATCCTACCATTAATCCATATTCCAACTTTCTGGAGTTCCCTTTACTTGTACCAAGGCTAAAACCGTTCCTGTAAGGGACTCGTTAAACTTTAAGGGCTTGACGGGAATTACTGGGGTTCGTGTCTGGTTGTGTTACAGTTGCTTGAAGCGGCTTTACACGGGTCATTTAGGATAATCCTATATCGCATACACTGTCGCCTGCAAGTTCCTTCCTTGATTTTTCGGGAGACAGCATTTTCTTTCTGGATACATGGACCCTTCGGGAAGCCAGTATGGTATGCTTAAAGCTTGCAGAGCTTACAGTACCCTCCAAAGAGGGTAAGCCCTGCCTCGTCACACAGATGCCCGGGGCATCCGTGGCAGAAGCGGACGCTGGGTGTTGGACACCGTGCAGCGATCGGGCAAAACGGTGGCCTCATGTTTCCGGGTGATGGAAGTTTCAGAAAACAACGGAAGCCCAACAGAATCCTAAATGACAAGACCAGAACTTTAATGACCTCTCCGATGAGACCACGATGCTTCCGAAACTCCCAATATGGGACTTGTCGTGTTGACGAGGGTTTTAGGGTTTACAAGGTCTCGGCAATCTACATGCGCAGGGGTGGGCGGGTGGGTTTCTGGGGTTGTTTGGGTCGTTGTCTTGCCTTTCAAGGGGCATTCGTGAGTACTCGTTTGAGAAGCACCCTACTAAGGCATCAACTCAAGGATTCCATTTGGGGCAGCGGGGAAGAAAGCGCAGCACCTACCCTGAATAACTGCAGTGTTGCTCTCATGGCTCCGAACTTTGATAATACGTCTGGGCTGCACAGTAATTATTCGCTATTGAAACGACCAGAAACTAACAGTAACAAGAACCTGGGAGATATTTCGGCCCTGAAGTATATAATATACTGCTACTTGGACCCGTTGGCACTAGCAGGTGTTCTCGTTTAACGTGAGCAGAAGCCGCCTGCTAACGAAGGCTGTGGTGCCGGTCGATCTCAAGGACGTCTGAAATTCCGACGCTTTAAGGGTTTAGGGTATAGCGGTTTAGGGTTTGGGGGATTTAGGGTTTGGGGGTTGGAGCTTAGTATAGTGTTCATTTCGGGAGCGGACTGTAATTCAATCCGCATCAGCCGCTAGACCTCAAACCAATCGAGAAGCCAAAACCCATGCGATAAGGGCCGATGGATGTACCTATATAGGAGGCAGATACTGTTGCCTTGAAGGTTTCTATCCAAGCACTGTGTAGGGGCAACGTAATAGACGATTGACTTGACTACGTAAGTATGTGAACCCATTAGACGATCAAACTAAACGCCTGTGGTAGCCGTACAGAGCCCGTATTCAATACCTTTTCAAGGAGGCCCTGTTTAAGGAACCCTCTCAAGGCAAGGCTACATGGACGCTTCAGGCTTAGGGACTGCCCCAGTTTGACAAAGGGGAGCTTAAGGGAGGCGTAAGGGGGGCTTTAAGGGAGATCAGAGGGGGCCCTTCAAAGGGCCTAAACTCGGCGCATGCTTGTAGAGTTTGGGATCCCGAGACAACCGAAGCCTTGTTAGCGCTTGTTGGAGCCGCTAAAGCCTTAAGGTAAAGTGTAGAAGCGCTGCACAACCCCTGCAGGCTACCCCCCAAAGCCCTGAAGCCCTAAACCCTAAGACTCTTAAGAGCTTTAAGCCCCCTGGAATAAAGCAACCTCTTAAGAAAGCAGCCACACAGCGCGCCTGAATTCGAAGACGCAGCTCCTCTGTCCGCTTTAACGTGGGAGGAATGCTCTCCGGCCAGGCGATGCGGAGGAGACCTGGGGGTTAAAAACAGAGGGAGGTTCCTTTTATCGGCTCCTTCAAAGGATTCGGTTTAGGGTTTAGGGTTTAGGGTTTAGGGGGATTCCATGAAGCTGAATTACTCAGAGCCCTGAACAATAAGGGTATGCATGTGTGTGTGTGTGTTGGTTTTGGGGTTCAGGTTGGTCGTTGTGGGGCTCCAGCTTACCGGAACGATGGGTTCCCAGCTACTGGGGAAAGGCAAAACCAATGACAAGCCTTGGCTGACTTCTGAACCCTTCCTAAAAGTTATTTTAGCCTCCTTATTATAGTTCATATAGAAACCCAAAAAGTTAAAGTCTAAAGAGCCAACCAGAAGAACGCCAAGAAGCAACCTACTATTTCGGTACCTGGGGCCCTAGGGGTGCGGCCTTTGGGGTACTTAAAGGATCATGGGACTTAGTAACTAGGGTTATAATTAATTAGGGTAACTATACTTATACCCCCAATTAGGGTACTTATAACCTTACTTACTAAGTCCCATGATCCCCTAAGTAGTGTGTATCGTTTGTTGTGTTTTTTGGGGATTTCACGCTTTGTTCTCGGGCTCAGGGTTAGTCTGTTTGTCTCTTCGTTGTTCACAGGGCTGGGCCTGGGGATGAATTCAGGTTTCAGAGTTATTTTCACAAGAAATGTTCAAAAGTTCCCTGCGAGCCTTAAGCTTTGGGAATTTGGGAATTAAGAGCTTCGGGTTCGGGGAAGGGTGTAGGGGTTGAGGTGTTAGGCTACGCCAAATGGAAATTTCGGTATGTAACCACAGAGCCTGGGCCTAAGCGGCCTAAACCCTCAACCTAGATGTCATGCATCCAGATACCAAGTGTTACATGTCGCCACCCTTGGCAGTATCTGGTTTGCTACACGACGACGTGCAACTGCGAGACCATGTGAATATGTAGATGCAACAGAGTGCCGGAGCAAAACAGGAAGCATCAACATACTTGGTGCTCCAAGGCCCTCGTGTCATGCATTATCTTCATCATCACCCTGCTGGTGACTGACCCTCGCCCCTTCTCTTCCTCGCAAGCCATCGTGGCCGTCCGTCACCGTGGCCGCCATCATCGTCGAATCACCATCACAAGCATAAAAAACATTCACCGATTTACCATAACCACCCCATTTCCCATATCCAAGCTTTGCACAATGCAAGTGGCTGAGGCTGGCGCTTTCTGCGGTCGTGTTCAGCTGCAGTGACACAGGTAGCTGGGCATTCTTCTTGCAAACCTCGGATGAAGGCAGGCGTAAGGATCAGAGACTTCTATGATAATTTATTCCAAACGTGATAAATGAACCAAGGGAGCTGTGAGGATGGACTCTCCGGAATCAGACTACTATAGGGGCCTAAAGACTTACCTGTACTATTTTTGGGGGTTCCTTATTACGACTTTTGCATGACGGGCCCCAGAAACCTATTCTATTATGGGCTTCGGGGTGTTCTTCCGGCCGTAGAAATCATTCCAGTCATGCCTTCCAAATAGAAGGCATTATAAGGACCTTGCTGATGAAAACATAGGGCTTCGTGAAGGATTTTTGCAAGGGCTTTAAAAGGGTTACTAGAATTAAGGTTGTAGCAAAGGGACTTCAATAGTTTTGCCACGTATCTTAGAGTTTATTTCATATAGGTAAGTCGGGACTACAATAGGAATAGAGTTACCAATCATTCCGGCCCCGTAGAATTACGGGGATTCAAAGGCTACGCCAGCTGTGGAAGCTTCCTACTGTAGTTCCTGGGCGTAAGTAGGGTAGGGTAGGGTAAGGGTAGGTAAGACCTAAACTGACTGGGATCCCCAGCTATTTTGGGCATTGGGTAGGTTTAGAAAAGGAAAAGACAAACATGTCATGTGCGCCTCCACAAGAAAAACTCCTGAACCGTAAACCCTAGTGTAGGGCGGCTGAACGATTCCTTCTGGCAGACTTTGTTTAGGGTTTAGGGTTTAGGGTTTAGGGTTTAGGGGAACGACAAGCATGCGAAGCTGAATCCACATTTCCGAACTCCGACTCTTAGAACCTTCCTTAAACTACCATAACCTATTTTTTTGTAGGTTCTTATTATAAACCATAATAAGGGATTTATAGGGACCCTACAAAAAAAGTAGGTTTTGGTCGGTTAAGGTTTGCGTGCAGGGGAACATCAGGGTCTCATGCTTTCGAGTACAATGCAAACTTATGTAACTTATCATGCTAAACTAGCACTGTTTCATTCTTTCGGCTCGGTTTCCCGAATATTGCTACAGTACGAGACAGAAACCCCGAACCCAATGTTCGCAGACTCGTAATCCCACCCAAGCCTAAAAAAGGTTAACCTTCTAAGCTATAGTAGGGTTATATGAGCCCCCGAAAGTTAAAGATTACCTGCTCAGCTACTAAGTAATCTCTGTGAATGGGATGCTTAGGCTCGCACAAAAGGACTCTTCTCGACGCCACTGCTCTGATACCACTGCTGCTGCACCTGCATGCGAAGCCCTAAACCCCACACCCCTAAACCCGAAGCCCCTGACCCCAAAACTCCAACTGAACCGTAATCTGCAACCGTAAACCCTGACTTTAAAGCCTACCCGCTGTTTGGCCCAACAGACTATACAATCTATACTATACCTTTTTGTGAAGAAACCTACTTCGTATGTCGTATGTTACTCTGGCCCACGAGCGCTTGGCAAAAGGATTCCTTAGCACAGCGCACAGAGAGAGTTTGTTTGTCTTCTTTCGTGGTGAGTTTCAGCTCAAGGCCTTTGTTCGGACCAAGGCGGAAACACTTCGAGCTTCAGCAGTCCTCTACACGACTAACCTACCACAACCCAACCAACCATCAATTGCAAACAAGCGGGCACCTGGAGTCAGAGCGCTCTAGGTTTCACACCCCCTTTCGGGATGGCCTGCAAGGTGTGCAAAGGCGTGGTCCATCTGATCTGCAGAGTAAGCCAAGACGAGGTAGGCCTGTTTTCTGGCCTGCGTCATCCTGGTGTTCGAAGACACTCTTGCGCCAACCCAGTAAGGATCATGGCACCGTCGCTCTTGAAGCAGTTTGTCACAAAACTATCTTCTCCGCATGCCTGCCACCAAAATCCAGAACCCGTCTCACATCCTTGTCCTCGCAGTAGCTCGGGTAGCAGGAACTAAACAAATAAACAAAACAAATATATATATATATATATATGTATGTAATATAGAGACACCATAGTAAGGAACCCGAAACTGGTAGGCCATTTCGGGCTCTAAACCCTAAACCCTAGATCCTTAACCCTTTCATCCCTGAGCCCTAAATCTTATAATCCCGATCTACAAGCCCTAAACCCCATAATCCCAAAACCCTAAAGCCTAAGCTCCAAACCCTAATTCCAACAATCCCTAAATCCTAGATCATATAACCCCTAAAAACTAAAATCCCTGAACCCCAAATCCTCTAAACCCTAAACCCCAGAATCACTAAACCCCTAAATCCTGTAAGCCCTAAACCCTATAAGCCCTAAACCCTAAATCCTATAAGCCCTAAACCCTAAATCCTATAAGCCCTAAATCATAAATCTTATATCATCCCTGGACCCGAAAGCCTCTAATCTCAAAACCTTAAATCCACTAGTCCCTAAACCCTAAATCCTACTATCCCTATAGGCCTAAACCCTAAATCCTATAAGCCAATCCCTTAACCTTAAATCCTAAAGTCCCCAAAGCCCTAGATCCGAAGATCTAGCAGCTCAAAGCCCGAACCCTTAAAGGAACCCTTATAGATCCCTTTAAAGGAACCCTTAAAGGAACCCTTTAAAGGAACCCTCAAAGCCCCCCCCGGGTTTTCTCGCCTCGGGCTGGGTGCAGCCTGCCTCTCGGAGAGGGGCGTGAAAATAGGGTCTATAGCCCTTAAACCCTTATAGAACCCTCAAGATCCCTTGAAGGGAACTCACCCAAAGGATCAAAATAGCCCAAAAGCCTTTTTTAGCATGGTCTTTGGGCCCAAAAGCCTCAATAGATGAGTCCTTAGATCCCTAGGGAAAGCTGGACCTAAGGGTCCATGTACCTATATAGTATATACATTGGCCTTAAAGTACTCCCTATATGGGTACATTGGGCCCAAAGTATATACTATTTGGGTACATGGACCCTTAGGGTAGGGTTTAGGGTTCATGCAGGGTTCAGGGTTTAAGGATTAGGGTTTGCCTTAACGCCCAACACCATACCTTTTTGGGGTTCCTTATTTGTTTTCCTTGTGTAAGTCCTTAAAACTATGATTTGTCTTACGTAAGTCCTTAAAACTATGATTTCCTTATGTATGCCCTGAATACGGTAGGATATTCAGGGTGAAGGTAGGGTTTAGGGTTTCGGGTTTTCGGGCGGAGGGGTTATAAGGGTTGGGGCTGAAGTCAAGGGTGTAAGGGCTTAGGGTTTAGGGTTTAAAGGTTTAATGGTATTAATGTTTAGGGGCTCGAGATTTCTGGCTTCAGAGTTTAAGGGTGAGGCTGTGGGTAATGTCTTCGAAAGCCGTGTTCACGACTGTACCATTCTGTTTTATAGTAATGCGAAATACACTCGCGACCCTTAAACTGGTGAAAGTGCTCCAGCCCACCATACACTGATACACTGAAAATAGAAACGAAAATCGAAATACCTGGACCACAAAAGCATGCAGGATGAGAGCCTTTCGAAAACGTTGGGCCAGTATTTTACCTACGTTCCGGGGCCCAGGTATACTATTGTGAGGCTGGTTGGCTGTGAATGAGCTCGTGCAATTAACGCTCAACGCTAAACCCTGAAACCACTTAATCCAGAGGGTTGCATTCTTCAGATGGGGCCTCCGCATCGGTGGGTTCAGGGTTTGAGTGACTGTTCTGAAGTTTAGACTGGACCAACAAACTCCTAAAGCATAAGTAAGGCCCTTGATCCCTAATCAGGACCCTCATTAATGATTCTATCATGAGACCTACCCATGGGCTCCATAGTAGTTCTTATTTTGAGGCTCATAATCAGAATCCTATATCATATCAGGTAATCTCAAAAAGGAACTACTATGGAGCCTCTAGGTTATCATCATGTCCTCGCTAACACGCGAGCAATAAAATGCAAATTACGATCCGAAGGCCAAATTCGCAAGTGCCGAACCGTTCGGTCGTTGGAGCTTTGAACCCTTACGCTTCATTACCCCACCCCCACGAAGCCTAGACCCAAACCCCTAGGCCCTAGACCCATTCGACAGCAGGAAACCCGAATTGCTCCCTGGCAGCCTCGCTTTCACGACCGCTGCAATTCTTCGCCTCTTGTGGTGCTTTGGCTTCTGGCTCTCGGGGTGGAGGTTTACAGAGAAAAAAGTGCAGCCTCTATTGGCCAATTTTGCGGCGCTCTCGATTTAGGATTCGAGCATGATGTGGCCTGCAGCTGCGCCTCCCGAAATGACGTCTTATGGGAGGACCCTGAACCTCAAAAGCCTGAACAGGGAGGTACAGTAGAACCTCAGAAGTTGGAAACCCAACAGCCTCAATCCTCAAAAATCATGTATAAAGAATCCCAGCTCTAAGTGTCCTTACGCCGGTTTCCAACTTTTTCGGGATTTAATATGGAAGGCAAGAGGCGCAACACAGACACAAAGATCCAACACAGGATGTTCTGCTGGACTCCCTGTAGATGAATCGACTCCGGTGCTCGAAACCAAGTTTTCAAAAAGTGAGGTTGTTGCTGCTGCATCCTTTTCCGAATACACTACGGTTTGAAGTATTGCACATTGACAACAATATTGTACAGTATGATGTAACATGACCGGCTATGATATAACACTAATAGTAACTAGTATTCTATTGAACTCAATATAGCACCACAAAACATAATACATCAGAGTAAAGCCTTGGGTAAGTAAATGGGCTGCTAGTGCAATGAAGCCCTCTCCTTTCACACCTTCTGGCTGTCTCGGGTGACATTCTGAAAACGAACAGACATCCGGGCTGATTTCAAGCCAAGCTGTTTCTGGGATCCCAGAACTCTACGACGCACTAAACGAGCGAACCCAGCACACATGTTCCTAAAATATTAACCGTCTCGGGCCCCCAACCCCAAAAGCCGAAACTCGGAATCCGAGAGTGTGACGAAATTGGTGAAGTCGTCCTGGGTGCTGTCGCTCCAGGTGTAGCGCCTGCTTTTCGAGAGTTTAATAAGGTTGAAGGTTGGGAGTATAAGGTTCTTGTGGGACTGGGGCTGGGTTTAGGATTTAGGGACAGGGTGTCTCTAAACGGATCAAGGCTCAGGGTTAGTGGACTATGCTTAGAGGGATTCGGAATTAGGGTCAGGAGGGTCCGCAGTTTCACGATGTTCTGGGTTCAGCTTTGCAACCTTTGCCCACAATCACAAAGCCGAAGCCCTCCAGCCTAACCGCTCCCCTTTCGGCAGCTAGTAGAGGGGTCTGCGTAGTTTCAAGTTTGTTTGTGTGTGTGGGGGTTGGGGGGGAATACTGCACTTGCACAGGGGTTCACAGTTCACAATCGTCATCATCTTCTTCATCATCATCATCACCATCTTACTGCCATGCAAAACGATAGTATTGATACTGTTATTTATGTTTACGTGGACATTGACATAAGTTTTTTGATAACGATATTGGCATTCAAAACTGTATTAGCACCAGGATTGCGAATAGTGCAAACCATGTTAGCAAGTACTGACAACAACCGGCAATAACGCTAACATCCATAACAGCCGTTGGATAAATAGACATACAGGAGTATACTCCAAAAGCCAGAATCATAATCACCAGAATAAGAAAATTATGTGTAAAAGTTGCTACTACTAGTAGAATAACAATAATAGCAACAGTTGATTGAAACTGGTGTTAACCGTACTGGACCTATCTGGGATGAAGAGTATGATAGTTACAAGCCATATGTGAAATGTGGCACCTGGCATATGAGCTCATACGACATGCAACACCTCCGGAGAAGCATCTGGGTGGTTGTCAAAATTTGGGTCCCTCATAGAGTACGGCACGTAATATTAAGGGTACCCTAAACCCTAAACCCCTAAACCCAAAAAGAGACCTGAATTTCGACAAACACCCATCTGCTCACGGCCAGGCGCGTGTCTTGATCGATGTCGGTGTAGCCGATCCATACCTGCAAGCACGCAGTGCAAAGAGAGACACAAGGGCACCCCTCCGGTGTACACACATATATATATATATATGCATATACAAATATACAGAACAATATTATATGCATGTAAAACATTTGTGGTATTTACAGTTATGATCTAGATATCCATCTATGAAGCTGTGGCCAGCATGCATTGCATCAGATTCTAGGCGATTCTAACATCTATGACCTATAGGCCCTGAACGCCTTCCAGGGTCTAGTCTTGTAGGGTTTAGGGTTCAGGGGTTTAGGGTTTAGGCCCAGCCCAGCTACCGATGTAATAAGATCTATGTAGGCGTGTTACCTTCGTGCCGAAATCGTACCTGCAAAGCAGTACGCTTGTACAGCCGACCAAACCATTGGCCAGAGTACTGCGAGTGTATGATTTCGACGATTCTTGTTGCGAAACGCTGAGAACATTGATATTGAGAACTCTGTAACAATCTCAATACCTGTGTGACTCAGCGGCTGCCAGTTACTCCACTGACATTTTTACCTATGTCACGATTGTCACACAAACCAGCCCCATCTTCGATGAACCCTTTAACATGTTCGCTGAATCCGCATCAGATTTGGAATGTTCCTGGATTCCGCAGGCGCAAACTGTACTAGTTTCAACCCCTAAGATCCCAAAGCCTTCTAGAGTCTCTGGACTAATGTAGGGGCCCTAATAATTGGAATAGGGACCCTTTAAAGTGATACCATACGGGATTTTCAAGGTTCCTTTATTTAGGGGCCTTAATTAGAATCAATGGAGTTTTGAGGCCCATTATGCCATAATTCCAATAAGGAGCCCCCCCCCAAATAGTATTGAATGGGTAATATTTATTTAGGCCCCTCTGTATTATTCCCAGTGGAAAAGGGTGTCTGGGTCTCCCATGAAGCACGAGGTTTGTTGTGCGGTGTTGTTGCTAGTAATTCCCTTCAGAAACCGCGAAGGACACGGTCAGAAACACGTTTCAAAAGAGATACGTTTGATGATATAATTCCTGCATTACCCATAATGAGAGTATACCATCATTCCCATAGTTTAAGGTCCTGACCGTATATCACCAGCAGTATTCTCACCACAAGTCTCATATAAGCTCTAGCTCATGTACAGGACTATCAAAAGGGAGGGGTGGCGCCTGAAGCTCAAACAGTTCTGGCAAAGGGCCACTTCGTATACGAACCTCCGGATCCATATTGTAATCCTTGTAAACCAGAAAGGGCTTACTTTCTGGTATTGGGTACTTCTAAGACCACCACAGAGGGAAAACGGGCCCACTGGGAGACCTCAAAAAAAGAAGGGCATTGACTCACCTCGGTTGTTTGGCGTCGGACGGCAAATCACATTCTGCTCAACTGCACAGAGCTGTGAATGGCGCGACAGCAGTTCGGCGGCAGGTAGCCTAAACACTGAACCGAATTCTAAGCACCCATATAGAAACCCTTAACACTCAAATCTGATGGCTCGGACGGCTGAAAATTCTGCCGCTTAGCCCAGGTTTCGAGGTTTAGGATTTAGGTTTAAGGGTTCCCTGCAATCTGTATGACACTCTTGCGGTTGGCCTGTGGATTTCCTATTTCCTGATTCACAAAGCAGAAACGAGACACTAGACCCAGTAAAGCCCTGAAGAAGAACCCACTACTCCTAAACTCTAAAGCCCAAGCCCTACTCCCATTAGCTCACTCAGCCCCATAGAGTCTAAGTGGGAAAAGGGCCAGTCAGTCCCGCGCCGCACACTCTAAGAATCGCAAACTTCAAGCAGAGCTGTGCTTAAATCGTAGCGGTGGGGCGCTCGATTGCTTGTAAACATCTATCTCCATAGGACCATAAGGAAATCAGAAGTTTCCCTAAGCCTAGTTTAGATTTTACTGTAGGGTTTATAAAGGTTTCAGGGATTCGGATTCCATCTTCAGGGACGAAACTACCAGACACTTTTCTTGTGCATGCCAGATGCTGTGGTTTGCCTCGTGCCTCTTGAATCTAACCTCCCCGAATCCTGCGCCATATTGTGCGCTTTACTCATCATTCAGAAGGTATACGATAAGCCACTACGGCCACAAATATCCCTTTGTGGCAAGTTGTTGCCCTGCGGCAATAGAAACACTATTCCTCAGGCTAGCTCAGGGTGCCCAGTTAACGAAACCGTTCTAATCGTCAAGGTCCCTATAATACGTTTCGGTGAACTCTCTGCAGCTGCTTATGCCTTGAGCTCGGGATACGACATGAGGGCTTTGGGAGGATTTGGGATTTTGAAAGGATTCCGGGTTTAGGGTTTGAGGATTCAGAGATCATGAGAGGTTTTGAGTCGGGATTTGGAATAGGGTGTTTGAAAGCTGGTGCGAAGAGCACAGCTCTACAGAATGACAAAACTCTGACAGAGAAGGCTTCTCAAGCCCTGTACAGGTGGCGAGAAAGCCTGAAGCCTAAGCACCGAAATCCGGCGGATTCTCAGATCCTCTTTCACAGGCTCCAGTTCGGAGATCCTGCAAGTGCTTCCGTCTATGCTGCTCCTGGAAATTCTCGCGGTGCACGAAGCCGGCCAAGCCGCCCCATCCGCACGTTAGAGGCGAGAGACTGCCAGCGTGACTCTTGCCTGGGCGGGGCAGGTTCGGGGTCCAGGCTTTATAGACCTTCCAAAATCCCTTAATCAAGGAATATACCTGAAAATTATAATAGGCTCCCAAATATGAATTAAGGCATATTCTTAATTAAGGGATTTGGGAAGGTCTGGATTTATAGGGTTCAGGATGTAGGGTTTGGGAAAGCCTAAACCCTCTAAGCCGTTGAGATCCGTTGAGTGCTTAGGGTTTACCTTAACCCTGAATAACCTACCTTTTTATGGTTCTTTATTATGATTTCCTTATATATGTCTTTAAAAAGGTAGGTCCTTCAGGGTTAAGGTAGAGCTTCTGGCACCGAGTTTGTGGTTTAGGGTTCAAGTCCAGGTGGATCTGGCACCACGAGGGCAGATCTTCGATTTTGGGGTATGCCCTAAACCGTAAACCCCAAACACTAAAACCTAAACCCTAAACCTATGGTGCAGAAATACCTCTCATTATGCCTTTCGGATTGACGGATGAGAGTTTGAATTGGCTGAATTGGAGAGGTTTAGGATTTATAGGACGTACATCAGTGGTAGGGCTTTGCGGTTTCCGTGTACAGATTAAGACAAGACACACGGCTTGGAGATTGAAGGATTTAGGGGTGTGAGTGTGGTTGGGGTCAACAAACACCGGGCACAAATGGGATCTCCAAAAACTAGTTTGCGTTTAGTAGACATCAGTCACAAAACCCTAAACTCAAAACTCTAACCTTGGACCTTAAGCCCAGAACACGAACACCGCGACCCTACATCCAAAAAAGACCTTTCGGGGGGGGGGGGGGGCTTGATAAACTAATAAACCTTATGGGGTCAGTGTATCTGATCGTCTAGCATAGCTAAATGGCTATATGTGGGCTACAAGGCAATGCCATGTACTACTTACTCAGACCTGCGCAGCAAGCCCTTAAACTACTCAAAACATGCCAGTCAACAGGATGATCGTCAGCGTGTCACCGTCCTCGATGCCATGTTCACCGACACTTCGCCCATCATCTTCCTTTGCTTCGATCTATGAAAGATTTGGAAAGGATTCCTTCGAAGGACCCGAGAAATAGGAAAAGGGTACACTTAAGTCAACAACTTTCTGAACAGTCCGGTCTCCACTTCGTCCGTGCCACGAACGAGCTTCAACAGCGATCCTTCCGAATAGCCTGCTTCAATGGGGCTTCCAGGGTGTTGAATGTCGTATGGTATTAGGGTTCAGGACTTGAGGTTTAGCTTTGGGGGGTTAGGGCTTACAAGGGTTCCTGACACGCGTAGGGTGTCTGACAGCTAGACCGTAGCTGCACAGCTAACCATGATCCCGAAAAGACTAAACCCTTCATCCCCAGGGCCCCGGAGCTGCAAAGCCAACGACTGCGTGGCAAAAGCCTTGCCTTACAAATCATGAGTCCTTAGCCTTAGAGCGGAACCTCAAACCGAAAGTACGGAGGATACTCGGGCATAAAAAATCATTCCTACTCTACAAACACTACTTTCTGTAAGTGCTCAGGACACCCTAAACCCTAAACTCTGAACCCAAAACCCAAAACCAAACGCCCTTTGGGAAAATCGGCCTGGAGGGGGCCCTTCCCGCTTGTAGACCTCTCGGATCAGCCTCTTGACCTCTCTGAAAAGTCGAGACTGTGGGGTGAGTGTAGGAAATTACAGTTTTCTGGCTTAAGAGATGAGGGTTTGGGGTTCGGAGTCGCAGTGGGGCACATGAAATTGCGAGTTGCTGCTCATGCGCAGGATTGGAGTGGTATTAGGCCCTGTTTCGCTTCAAGAAGTGCCAGGTTAGCAAGTCGATTCGCGGGCTGGGGTTTGGGGGTTGAGTGCTTCTCACAACACAGCCAAATCCTAAATTCTCTTAGTGGCTTCCTTGATGGTGTTCTTGGCGTCCACGGACATAGGCAGCGACCGACCAGATGCATGGAGCAGGTGCACAGTGATGGGAGCCGTTTCCGGGTCGACCTCCTCCTCACCAGGGTGGTTTAGGGTTTAGGCCTTCGGGGGGTACGGAGGAGCATTCTCTCTTGCTTGGGTTTAACCTTCACGCAGTTGTCAATTGGAAAGGTGGCATCTGCTGCAATTCCAGATGATGCTGTGGCAGGTCCTGGCTGCGAGGTTCACAAGAAAGTGATCAACCAAACACCCCCCTATATTCTGTAGTTCCAGAAATATTTAGGCTCTATGCTCGAAGTGGCCAGATTTCCTAATCCCTGCAGCCCACGGAAGTCTCATGATCCTAAAAGACCCTTTGCCCGAAAGCCCTACGTACCTGCGTACTACTTTCTGGTTCATGAGGAGGTTCTCGGTAGGGTTACAGGCTTCCTAACATGGCTTATAGTCTTCGCTACCCTAGTTATGAGCCCCACTTATAACTGCCCTTGTTACAACTGCCCTTGAACATCCAAGTGGAGCCACCATAAAGCAACAAACAGTCTCTAAACCAGCAACTAGCAAACCTCCAGAGAACGATAAGCCATACTATAGGGGCCTGAATAATTAGAACCGGGGTTTTGGAGCCCATTATACTGTGGTTTTAACAACGAGCCCCCAACATAGCATTGGTAATTGTGACGGCCCCTATATTAGACGCCCACCGACCTCCGTCGCGGGCACCGATCCCTCGGAGAGACCCTCCACCATGCGAGGCCAAGCATCCAAGCTGCCCCCGGAAACCTTCAGGTTTAGGGTTCAGGGTTAGGGTTCCTGACACCTTCACTAGACCCAAGAGTAACCCAGGCATAAAAAGGATGCCCTTTTTGGTTTAAAGGGGTTTATAAGGGAACCTGAACCCTAAAAAAGGGAATAAGGGCCTACTCTAGGTCCTAGTTCAGGATTCTGGTTAAGGGATTCGGTTTAAGTTACCATAGTAGGGATCCATAGTAGATAAGATGGTTTGTGGTTTCCGTATTATGGTAACCTAGAATCAGAGCATTTAACCCCTAAACCCTTATAAAACCCTTATAGAACCCTTATTGTAACCATAAACATGGTAGCTGAAATTGAATTCCATGACAAGAACCCAGCCTTGCAAGCCATCTTCGGAGCAGCGAAAGTCTGCAAGCTACCAAGAAGCAGCTCTCATCCAAGACGGCTGAATGGCCGCGGTTTAGGGTCTGGGGTTTAAGGTTGACAGGGATTAGGGCTTAGGGCTTATAGGGTTTAGGGTTTATATTGGGTTTAGGGTTTCTAGGGTTAGGGTCTAGGGTTTATAGGGTTTAGATGACCCAAGTTCCCATGCACATGAGTTGTGGCATGGTGGAAGCTCGGCTTTACCAACATGGAGCATGGCTTCTATGGCTACCGAACCAAGAGTGCCCTCGAAGATCCCGCAAGCCGAATTGAGGCCTTTGATGATCACCGTGTTTCCTGTCGTACGCCACGATCATTCCCCAGAAACCCTACATGGATTACACCCTGAAGATCCCAAAACCTTGAGATGTTGCCAGTTTTAGGGTTTAG